TTATTTAAATAAAAACATGGAAATACAAAGCATCACCTGGAATTAATGCTCCTTCCAGGATACAATTACTCCGAAGAGTATCAGAACAAAAATAGATAAGTGACGTTAAGTCCAGCGGCCACTGCATCAACCAAATATGGCTGTAGCCATATTATAGATCAAATTTAAACACATATATACAGATCAGAAGCAAACACAAAACTTCAATATAGTACAAAATATAGAAATAATAACAATATACAATGATAAATCTCAAATTGGAATCAAATAAAATACCAAAAATGTCAACAGAAAAAGTCCGTCATGTCATAACAAAAATATGTAAGCATGGAGGGATTTTCCAAAAAACCAAAACATTCAAAAAAGGATTCTACAGTCCCTAGATACTGTAATGTCGCAGTGACAATGTGATAAGTTCGTCACTGAGTATGCTTGAGGCTATTACGAGTTTACCTTAGTCGATAAACGCGAACGAGACTTCTACCAGCGTCCAGGTAGGCTACCTTGAATACCCAAAGTCGAAATAAAAGGTTTTGTAAGCGTAGAAGTATATTCTACAAACACCCAGCAATCACATTACAATCAAGCATACAACCATCGTTTATTTATACGACAGAAACGTCCTTGAGACAGTTAAGAAAGTAGCATACTAAAATACACAGCAGCCAATCACAGCCATGGATTTTCCTGGTGGGAATTGAAATCTTAAGGTCAACTGATCAGTCCATGCTGGCAAACGTGAAACCAAAATTAGGCATTTATCAAGCGAATTTTGGGGATCTAACATCCCCAACACAATGAACCCATGTATTGCAGAAGTTGCATTCATATACATAGTCACTGGTTTTGACTGGCATCGAGTAGGCTAGAAAATTAGCATTGTGTGAGTTCTGAACGACAGACTGTGTCAACTGAGCCTTAGGACGCTTTTTCTTCCAATTCTTTTATTATTAATTGGTCTTTCTAGAAGTAGGAATCTGAGGGATGTCCTCTCAGGTGTAATGTTGGGAATTCAGGGTGGGTGTTTCAATCGAGTGATCCGAATTGTGGACATTGCTCTGAGGTACTGTTACGTCCAATTTTTGCTCCTTCCTTTTGTGACGTACTGTGTGTCGATCTATTTGCAATTCACGAACCCAAATTAATGAGAAAACGAAATTCCAAATTTAGGTACCAAAGTTTATTTTTAATTCACAAATAATCGTTCGTCGAATTACAAATAGACGACCAATGTCGTTCTAACAACAATAGTTATAATAATTACAATTACCTTCAATTTTGTAGGTTCCTGGAGCAAAAACTGCAAAAGAACAAACCAAGACAAACAGGAAACCAAAATGGCCGAAAATAATAATAATTCAAACAAGTTCATAAGTTAAGTAAAACAAATATACCCAAAAAACACAGTGAAATTAATGATATTTATATAAAGGTTTTAATCAGCCAAATGTCTTCATTCCTCCCGTAACACTCCCGACCAAAAGAACCTTGGTTCTTTTCACCAACAAAAATAGGTAACAACATTCCAAGTATGAGCATCACAAGCAATCGACAACAGACATTCAATATAGATTCTACACCGGCCCACAAAATCCCTCTATGCGAAACAAGCCCTTTCTAACACTTCAATATACGTTCACTCTCATCCCCTAATCCACACCGGAAGAACGAGTAGGACTTAAAGCAGTACGCCTACCCGCCCTCCAACATGGATATGACCTATCAAGGTAACTAGGTACCTGTACCTTCCCATCAGGCCCTTGATTCCCCTATCTATCGTAGCATGACCTAACGGTAGTATAAACCTTATCCAATTAACCCACATGAACATGTACAACACGTCGTAAAACTGGTCATATCCTGTCCGGGAATTACATTCCATATCATGGGGATGAGTCGTCAATCCACCACCCATTGCTCCGAACAGCAGATAAGATGAAGCCCGTGATGCTGACTTATCAACAGAAATTCTTGACCCATAGATAATATGCAAGGGTGGGATCTCCAATTTCGATATTTCCTCGTCTCCTGAAGACTCTAAGTGGCATAACATATGAACAATATTTATCTCTCCATCTCCTGGTACAGAGGAGGATTGATTAGCATTCGTCATCGTCGACAACTCATTTGTCACATCAGTGACATCCAGATTATTATCATCGTCAACATGATTCCGTTCTGTCAGACAAGTTGCGTCGTTTCTGGCTACACTAGCATCCGTAGAGTGAAACTCTTCCATTGTTGTATAACTCATCTCACTACATGAAGGAACAGCATTAGTTTCACAATTCGAAACCGATAAACTCACTTGTTGTTCTTCATGTTCTGTTTCAGAGACACAAGATATATGTACATCAATAGCATCGTTAACATGCAACACTGTAGATTGGATGTTATATAAAGGTTTTAATCAGTCAAATGTCTTCATTTCTCCCGTAACATGTACACTATCAAGCGATGTTATGAAATTTTTCGCACGTCTGCTCGAGACTGGGACATTCAATCGCCAAGAAACCTGTTGTGCACCTTGCTTATTTTTACTCTACCATTGAAAATGTGGCTGTATCATACTGTTTCTGTCAGTGATATGGTATAATTAGGCTATCAGAAACTGACTATTATACTTAATTAAACTGCTATAACTTTTACAGTATATGTGAAAGCATTTGTGACACTTTGATCTAGCATGTAAACTGGGATGACTCTTGTAACGTAGTTATTTGAGAATAAATATTATTATTATTATTATTACCACTAACCCAGGATTTCATAAACTTATTGGTTTGCGTAGTAGGAAGAAGTGGTGGCAACCTTATCAGTGAAAATGATTCCTGAGAGAATAAGAGATCAAGAGACGAGTTCGTTGAAAGAGTAAAATGCGTAAAATGAAAGTTTTCGAAGGAGGAAAATAAAAATCATAAATATAACTACCGAAGAATAGAACTTGAAAGTCACTTAATATTGCAAATTTAACTTTGACCGCCCTGGTAAGCACCTTCGTGAGGATCCAGTAACATATCAACAAGTCCTGTGTTTGCGAGTGAATGAATCTGTGTATGCTGCCGAAGCTGCCATATCTAGCAGCAATGGATCACCAACGCCTCTAGGTAAAAAGCCAGGTATATTTGAACAGTAAAAATTATTAGTAGGTTGTCATAAAACACTGTGTTGTGCCAAAGACCGGATTTTAGGGCACATCAAATTGACGAGATAATCATCGTGCAAAATCCTTGATTTTTGATAAAAATGAGATATCTCTATGACACAAAGAAGTATTTCTACTTATCCATGTATCAAGTGTTCAGCTTAAATACTTTAACATCCACCCAAAATTGCAGTTGAGTCAGATCCTCCTAAAGAACTAGCTTTACCGTCTTGGCGATCAGTAACAACTCAGATGAAATGGCAATTGACCATATATCCTTAGAAGTGCTAAAAAAAGACTTCGGTGTATGCTAAGTGCCATTGAGTATAACATACCTGACAGTGCATGTCTAAAGTCTGTTAAAAAGACTCTACTTAAAGAGCATGGATTTTCCCACTCCTGGTGTGTAGCACGAAGGTTAAGTAACGTCAAGACTAAAATTTCTGTTCTATTCTTTTTCCGCTAAGTAGAATTATGGAAGCTAATCACTTCAGTACCTGTCAGTCACTACTTAAGCACATTCCCATACTTAACAAGGTTAGAATAACCTTTAACAGAATTACAATTCGGTGTCGAATCGCAAAAGAGCTACAGACCAAGTGGCCCAACCTATGCACTAGCAACAGCTACAACCACCGCCGCTACGGAAACTATGATATACCTTCCGCTACCTTTCAGAAAACAGATCCAGTGAGGCCATTATTTCAAACATCAGTTCTGTAAATAAAATAGTTACAAACGTTTATCCCAAGTTCAAACATTCAATAATTTCCAAATCACAGTGATTAGTCGTTTAAGTTATTCGACAATTTTATCGACCATTTTTTATGTTCGCAATCATTTAATTGCAGAATTGATTATTTTATACTGGATTATCTACGGATGCTTACTCGCTTATAACATGTTTGGCTTAATATTGATCGACCATAAATACTTTATCATTTTGTCATAGATGTCTCAGCATTCAAAATATTCGTTTTTTTCTTCCAGATTCCCGGCCTTCATAGTTCCTTTACCTACTTCGGTTGTATCAAATCAGTCAAGTTTTATGTAAAATGTTTAATTATTTCTTGATCTGTATGACTCAGTTGCGAGAATATTAAGTAGCCATGCCAGTGATGTTCTATATTATTATAAATATCCAGAAACTGTCCTTTAACATTAGCCGCTCACAGGTTAAACTGGGCAAAAGGATTTATATTGTAACTGTTTTCTATTAACAAAAATTTTGTGCCGTTATTCTTTTTCCGAAAACAATAGATAAAATGAATGGTTTGCCAACTTGTATAATAGTCACGAGCATATCAGTTATTCGGCAACAATCATAGGTTTTTCGATTATTGATCTTGTTCATCGTTGACTAAAGTTATGTTACACGATCAGGTTAAAAGCAGTGATGTGAAAGCTATTTCCCAAGCATTGTTTTCGGGTAAGGTCTCTTTCTGTAAATAACCTTTCTATGCATTTTTCATTGCTGTAAAACCTCAGCGTTATTATAGTCACTTCGACGTGCCAGTCAGGATCAGATTTGTGAGAACTTGTAGCAGCCAATGGTAAGCGGCTTTGCCAGTCGACAATTATACTGAGTTTGTTACCCAAATATATCGAGTTTGCTTTGATGAAGTTGACAGATTGATATCCGCAAGAGATTTTCTGAATTATTTGACATCATTCCATATTATATACCAAACGAGTGTTTTTCTGAAAACGGCCTACACGTATACAAATCGCTACTCCTCGCTTTTACAGATGTTCATTAGGATAAATGGAAGCTAGAGAGGTTACAGAACGAACTAACAGCAATTTTGTTAGATCCATTTGGAATTGGACTTATTGTTATGTTTTATGTTAGATATATTTCATCTGTTTTCATAGTAGCACTCCAAGGATCAAAGACCATTTTTACACCCCCTTCTGTAAAATGAACGGCAGAAAAAATATAATAATAATAATTACAATAATTTATTTTCGAATAACAAACATGACAGACAGTTCAAAAAGAGCAGACTGCAAGATAAAATAAGTATTTCTGTGTAATTAAATTAAAAGGAATGTTTTTATATGTGTAATTGAATATTGGATGAACAGGGAACGCGCCAGGTCTTGTAGTTCATCGGCGTAAATAATCAGCGTCGATGATCGCAGGCTTACTTCAGAAAGACGGGAACTGTATGACTTTCTGGCATACATCTAAGTAAAATCTCGAGTTTGTTGTTTGATCTGGATCACGTCACTGTCCTTAACCATTTGACTGCTAGAATAAACATTTTTAATCGGCAACAACAGTTAACGGAGGTACAAAGCTGAATCATCGCCATATGCGCTTGTTCATGAAACGCAAATCATTGATGAGCGTTAGTTGTCCTTTGACTGAATGGCATTTGGCTAGTTGAAGGATATTTCGATGGCTCTTTAGAGGTGATCTAGTCGAGATTGTTTATGATCACCACTATATACGAATTACGAGAAGAGAAGAAGGGTTATTGAACAGTATGAATATATTTGCTGACGGTTTTGTGGCATCAAAACAGTAAAAAATCGAGCCTTTAAAGTTAGGCGAAATTACAGAGACAGTGGAACCGAAAATGGCAGCAACACAAACAGAAAGTTTGCGCGTACAGAGAGTAATAGACAAAAAGCAGTTAAACAATAATTGGTACAATGCAAGTTTCTATTAAACCAATCGCATTCTCTTCATAAAAGTGTATTCACTGTAACCCAATCACATTTCACTGGCCCTGCAGTCTGTTACATCTTTATATTCTTCAATGACAATAATGACTTCACTAAGAGTGCACTAAAGCTGTAACTGTGTATAGAGATAGATCGTTGTTTCATCATACTTATATAATGTGTTTCTGCATAAAGGAAACTAGTCACAGGAAAACCAATAGACCCAGTGTTATTCATACTCATCACAAGCGATATAACTCAATACAAAAAACCGAATACCTATCTATGAAGACTAACAAAGACTTGCTGCTTTCAACATTTAACATTTGCATAGTTGTGGATGCTAAAGCTTTCAGTTTCAGTAGTCTTAAAGCTGCACTAAAAATGTCTGGAGAAGATTCTAAAAATTCAGATGTTCACATGGTACTTACTAGAAGTTTCAAGGCAGATTCCTTTGTCCTATTTACCATTCAAATCATTTGGTGACTGCAATCATCAACTGCTTGCATGGAAATGTCAATGTATCAGGCACCTCGAAATCCACATATTCACACATGTCCTGGGGTCTTTTACCGGGAACAAATGTGTTTCGAATCCTATTGCTACTGAAAGCACTACTATTATTGCTGAGATTAGTTAGGTTGTGCTGCTAGACTAGTGACATCAGTGGATACTGAACAGCTGGCATCTTATTGTAGAGGTCATCTGGTTTCCTCTAGCATAGAGTACGGATATTAATTGGAGGATTTATTGAGATACTCTTAATGAGGTTCACAAGGGAAGACTAACGGTCGGTTGATGATCTACTTCTCCGTCAAACCATCTGGGATGGATCTCGCTACCCCAGACACGTGATTCAAACTACACCAACCGACGGGTTTTAAAAAGCTGAATTGGATATGAGTTTAGGTTTAGCATAGGCTACCTGATTTACTACCCTTTCGAAACAAGAAATAAATTTGTAATGTTAGTGTTGAGATTCATTCGTCGACGAGGCTAAATTAAGCTTAACGCTACCTAAGTAACTGCCTGGTTTGGACAAAAGTATAGATGAGAGAACAGTATACATTTCATCATCATGAAAGTCTTTCTAGAGGAGTGAGTTTTTGCATATCTTCAGTTCTATTGACAATGATAGAAAATTTGTTCGGAATTTGTCTTTCTCATGAAAGAAGGTTACTTTAACTATCTTTTGTATTCGGCAATCTGGTTTTTTCCCTACATATTACTTAAATTCTCTATAAAATGCAATATAAACCTATGTGAGCCTGTTAAGAAATCTGGTCAAATCGCTTTGCTTAAATGTTCATAACTTAAGAAATTACCTCTTGATAGGAAGTAACGGTGAATATATGTGACGCTCAATTCTCAAGTTAGTAATAACAACTAATATTCTTCTGGTCTGTTATCTAAGTCTCGAAACACATTCTTACTGAGCTACAATTTGGTCGGTTTATCAGTGTTCAAGTAAATGTCAGTGTTCATTTCAGGACGTACTCCTATGTGCTACGGTAGCAAAATTAGATACGGAACCATGGAATTTACGAAGGGTATTCGTGTCACCAAAATCCTAGTACACGGGGTATGGGGAATCACAGTTAGTTAAATACCTCATTCACCTAAGAAAATCCCCTTTCTTATCTATAAATTACTTATGCTCATCAAGAGCACTTAGTACCCAGTTACATCAAACATTTTGTGTTGTAATTGAACATGAAGTATCGACTCTATAGTTGGGGAACTAATGATTGTGGAATTTAAGTACGTGATTACTTTTATAATCTTGATGATACTTCGATTTCAATAAATCATTCAGTATATGTCTTGATTTAGTCACCAACCAAAACATGACAGAAATGCATGAAGTCACTGACAAGTGGACTGAGTCATGTTGGTAGATGTAGACTACCTGGTTGTGGTCCGCGAGATAAATGTCAACGATGGTTGGCGACCTTAAACGACACTGCTCGAAATCGTTTGCAATGGTGCAGGTTCATCCACCCGTTGTGTTCTTTCAAATTCTAACCTTCTGAATCCTCATCATCTCTACGTTTCTCTTTCTAACTTTATCTCACTGAATGATACTTCTCGAATCATATCTTTGAACCCTAATCTTCTCCATTACTGCTGATATTTCTACTATCGCTACCACTATTGGATTTGAACTGACAGTGGCGTCTCTGTTCCAATGCGGTATGGGAACCTGAGCTGATGTACGTAAGTACAAAGTTCTGTGTTGTATCTGTCTGTCTGTCGGCTATTCAGGATGACTGGAGATTGTCAGTTGCAACGTAGAACTTCGTACGTATGTACATAAGTTCATGTTGCCATACAACATTAGCACAGTGACGCAATTGTCAATTCATATCCTATAGTGGTAGAGATAGTAAAAGAATTATTGCTAATGGAGATTAGGATTTGAAGATAATATTCAAAAAGTATAATTCAGTGAGATAAAGTTAGAAAGAGAAACGTAGAGATGATGAGGATTCAGAAGGTTAGAATTTGAAAGAACACAACGGGTGGATGAACCTGCACCATTGCAAACGATTTCGAGCAGTGTCGTTTAAGGTCGCCAACCATCGTTGACATTTATCTCGCGGACCACAACCAGGTAGTCTACATCTACCAACATGACTCAGTCCACTTGTCAGTGACTTCATGCATTTCTGTCATGTTTTGGTTTAATCGCCCCCCGCTTTCACCTAATCTATTCCTACACCACAAAACATCGCCCGTCGAGTGAGTCGGTGGTTGGGCATTCGTAACACATGTCCAAACCACCTCAACTACTGAAGTTTCAATACTTCATCTACTGATTTGCCATTCCTAATGTCAGCACTGCCTACTAGATTATCCCACGATACACGAGCAATGCTTCGAAGACATCTGTGATCAAATTCTAGTAACCTAGGAATATCTAATCTCACCGGCCATGTTTCGCATCCATATAGGAGAACGGAGTGAACTGCTGCACAGTACACTCGTACTTTGGTTAGCAAATGGATATCTCGCGTACAACCTAAGTGACGCACGTTGACAAAAGCCAACCAAGCCTTCTTTATCCGTGCTGAGATTTCGTCAGTCACCAGGCCAACAGCACTGATGAGACTCCCGAGATAAGTGAAGCGGTCTACACGTTCACTCTTCACTCTCTATCACTAGTTCAGGTGCCTATGCAACCCAATCTTGAAGCAACATTTTGCATTTTGATGGTGAGGACCGGATCCCAAACATGCTTGCATTGTTGCTCAGGGTGGTCAGAAGACTCTGCATTTTGTCAGCGTCTTCACCAAGTAGGACAATGTCATCGGCATATTCTAAGTCAATAAGCGAGCCACCTGGTAAAAGGTCTACTCCTGAAGATTCAGACCAGGACAAGGTTATTTCTAGGAGCATGTCAATGATAAAATTAAACACTGAATGGAGGAAGTGGACATCCTTGACGGACACCACTTGATGTAAAGAATTCCGGTGACAGTTCGCCATACGCTCTCACTCGACCGGTGATTTTCGAGTAGAAAGCTTGTGTGAGGTTAATGTACTTCTTTGGTACACCTTTTGATGACAGACACTGTCACAGAACCTCACGATCCACTGAGTCAAATGCCGCCTTAAGGTCCCGGAAAGCAACTATTGTCGGACGCCTAAACGTGTGTCTGTGTTAGAGGACCTGTCGTAGTGTGAAGATATGGTCTATACAGACACGTCCGGGTCAAAAACCAGACTAGTTTTCTCGAGTCTACTCTTCACAAGCTCTATTTAGGCGTCTAAGGATAATTGAGGCTAACAATTTCGAAACTATATTATTTAGACTGATTCCCCTGTGGTTATCACGGGAAGACTTTTGTCCTTTATCATAAATTTGGACAGTCAGCGATTGAGAGCAGTCGGACGGTATTGCGTCCAGTTCCCAGATTCTACCTAAGATCTCAGTCAATCTAACTGTTAAAACTGGACCACTATCCTTAGAAATCTCAGAAGTCAATCTGTCAGGACCCGCATCTCTCCCTCGCTTCATATTTCCTATCGCTTTCTCAACTTCATAAAGACTAGGTGGACTTATGTAGCTTCCTCATTTAGGATAACTGGAGATCGTTGGGAACCAAATTTTGGCTGAAGGCCAGTTGAACTGATCCCTGAGATGTTTGCCCATCGATCCAATCTTCTGAATTGAGAATGAACTATAAGACCATCCTTTTACGATATGGTTTCACTCACATTCGGGTTCCTAATACCGGTTTTCTTGATGAGTCTGAATAGTTGCCTACTATTGCCTACCTCCGTTTCCTTTTCCATCTCCCTTGCTTTTGCTACCCACCACTGTTCTCGATCATTGCGAAGACCTTTTTATCAGTCTGCGCCTAATCTGACCCCACTCCTCATCGTACTCAGAGCCAGGAGGAATGAGCTTTCGAGCATCCATCAGTTAGGTAGATGCTACTGAAATCCTTGGCTTCTCCCTAACCCTATGGTTTACCTTACTACAAGATATCGTTTCTGTTTCCACAGCCTTTTTGATGTCATTCAAAGTTGCCTCAGGTTGGGCATCACTTACTACATGGCTGCCTAACTGTTTTTCTAGTTGTTCCTGAAATATATTCTTAGCTATGCTATCATTAGCTTGAACCATAAGAGGTTTCCTTGCGATATTTTTCTTGCGTCCATTAAGGGGCAAACAAATATGCGCTCGCACTAGAGCAAGGTCTGAGTCTAAACAAGTGCTCCAGAATGATCGGCAGTCTTCAACAAAGCCTCTCCATTGATGGATTATAGCGACGTTATCCTGTTTGTTCCATCGATGACACGACTTTGGGGGTCGCTATGTCAGAAGATGTTTCTCCCTATGCTTTTCTCTGACTCTACCTACTTGAGCGTTAAAATCACCAGCCATTATTACTATATCATAGTGCTTAACATTTTGGAGAAGTTTAGATAGGTTTCTATAAAAATTATCTTTCATGTCGTCTGAACTGTAGTCAGTGGGAGCGTAGGCAGATACGACGAAGCGGCAACGGTGAGTGTCCCTATCCTTCCGAGTCCGCACCGTCCCGACAGACGGTGCATACAGACAGACAGACAGACAGCGCATAAGCGACTATTTACGGGGATCCAGTCTAAGAGAGCTAGTTCTGTCCTAGGACTTAATTCTGTACCCACGCCGGCGAGGCCACGTAAGCGGCATCAGGGCTTCCAGAAACACAAAGCATAAACCTTTTTGTCTCTATCTGTACTAGCTTAAATCGAATTGATGATTTTACTCGGGTCTTGTATGCGCGTTCCGGAGACGCATCATACATCGATCGCCCGGGATTCCAGAGTTCTAGCTAATGAAGCCTGTTGCCCTACTTGGCATAGGGTCCGAACACTAGAAGCTCGTATATGTAATTAAGTACAGGGTTCCAAGAGATCAGGAATAATGTTTCGAGAGCTCGTACCGTTTACTTCAGTGGCGTGAGGTGATAAACGATCTAGAGAATGGTTGGTCGAGGAGATGAGAGAGTTATTAAGCGATGTAGAAAGGATTTGATTGTTACCAATTCGGTGTCGTGTGTTGTTACAGGTATGAGGGCAGATGTTACTTCCCTTCTGCCCACACTGTGGAAGGGTGCTTCTTGAGGAACCTGAAAAAGTAAGTAGATTAGCGTTGGTCTTAACGACCTGACCGTGACCGCAGAGCCCAAGGGAAAACTGCTTGAGGCCAGTTACGCACGGCCTTTTTATGAGAGGTTTTCTCAGTATTAGCTGCGCTCTTAAAGGCCCTTAGTGGACAGCCCTTACCGCTGGAGACGGAAATCCGTGTGGTAAGGTGAGGTGTATCATTTTTAGGGTCAACCTTTTTAACCTGTTCCTTCCTTTCTTGTGAGAAGGCAGCATCGCTGCAGATGCTGTTTGTGTGCTGTCCACCCCTCTACATTCAGCAGTACGACTTCGCCCTCAGACCTTGAGTAGCTGCTTTTAATCTCATTGTTCTCCAATCGACCTCCCCAACGTGGTAAAACCTTCAGGAACATATGTTCCAGCCAATATAGCTCGGTTGGGTCATCACGATAGGCAATCCCGACCACCACGTCAAGATAGTAGCTACGGTCGGGAAAATGTGCATCGCTAACTACTTGGCTGCCTATCTTTTGCCAATTGTTCCCGAAATATATTCTTAGCTATCCTGTCACTAAGTATAACCCTAAGAGTTTTCTTTGCGATGTATTTCCTAGGTCCACTAGGCCGAAAACAAATACGCGCCCGTAGTGGAGTATGGTCTGAATCTAAACAAGTGCTCCAGCATGAGCGGCAGTCGCAATGTCAAAAGATGTTTATCCTTGTGCTTAAAGTTAGTATTTGCCAGGAATAGGCGCGTATCAGAGCGTAGCTGCAGCAGACGGTTGCCATTATCTGTCCCTTTAGCCGCGACACCATAACATCAACCCAGGTGTCTTTCCATTTTACCTGGTCTACCAGCCATTATTACTATATATGTAGTAATCGATGGTTAGAGACCCCGATTGACATTGCTCAAAATCGTTTGTAGTGGCGCAGGTGCATTCATTGTGTTCTCTCAAATCCTAACCTTCAGAGTTCCTCATTACCTTTATCTTTTTCTTTTTAAGTTTATTTCACTAGATTGTACTTGCAGAATTGTATCTTCGATCCCTAATTTCTTCAATTATTGTTAATGTTCTACTACCTCTACTAATATGGGGTTTAAAGTGCAGTCGCATCTCTGTGCTCATATGGTATGACAACTTGAACCGCTGTACGTACGTACGAGGTTATATTTTGTTGACTGAGATTCAATGAATAGTTTTAAAAATACGCTTCACATATATTGGTCCTCATTAGCGAATCTTCAAAACCTTACTGGTGGGTGTCTATTAACTAGCGGAAACGATGTCGGATACTCCTTATTGCTTCATTAGTTTGGTTAAAGAGTATTGTGCAAGTTTTCATATGTATCTACTCCTAACTAGCCGTCTTGCGCCTAACAAACGAAGCTGTTCAGGCAATTCCCTAAACCCATAGATTCGAAATCACTTGGAACATATACACTTCCTATTTAACCACCATACAGTTAATGCTTCTGAATCCTCAAATGTTCGTGGGACTTTAATCTAAAATGAATTTTCGCACGTATTTTATACTAGTTATCTAGGTTCACAATTCTTCGTTTTTCCCTCCAACAACGTAATCTACATTTTCTTCTTTATTGTTTAGGTTCTAAGTCCAGTTACTTATGTCAGATGTCAACAGATTAATCAGCACTTGGTCAACAGACTAGGTTTGGAAACTAGCCTTCAGGTAAGTGGAATTTTATTCTATAAATTTTTAGGGTCATCATGGTTGTGTTAACTGCTTAGAATGGAATGAGAGTGGTTCCTATCTTGCCAGTGGTTCAGACGATCGTTGCCTAATTATCTGGGATCCATTTGAACGTAAATCCCTTTTGACTATGAATACTGGTCACGTGGCGAATATATTTTCTGTCAAATTTTTATCTAGTTTGAATGTGAGTACTATCGTCTTGCTGTTACTAAAAACCCAATCATTTTATTTTTTTAGGAGAATCTCATCGCAACAGGTGCAGCTGATAACAAAATTCGTGTACATGACATTAAAGCATTAGAAACTCGGCATGTGTTTTCTTGTCATTCAGGTCGGGTTAAACGATTGGCAAATACTCCATCTGAACCATTTTTGTTTTGGTCAGCCTCAGAAGATGGAACCTGTAGACAGTTTGATCTACGAGATCCTGATCAGGTAAGCTTTTTTATTTCCTAAAATCAATTTTAGAAATGTGTAAAATTAAAAACTGTAGGATTCAAATTCAATCAACCGATTCTTAATTGATTTAGAACTGTATACTCAAACCTCGGGATAAAATTAAAAGAGATCAACTTTATCACCAAAACGTTTTCTTAACATTTAAGCGACACATGGATAATAGGCGTCTTAACCAATGTTTGACTCGATAATTTCGGAAACGCTGAGCATTGGTAATTGTTAATGAAAATAATATATTTGTAGTATTCCAATAAGTAGAAAGCTAAAACTTTTCTGGCTTTTCGTGACTTGGTTTGAACCAATTTTTTTCTTTTATTTATTCTCTGAAAAAGTGGCTTACGCGGAGTCACGAAACATCAGAAATTTTTTTTAACTTTTTTACTAATTGAAATACGCCTGTTTTTCTCAATAGAGGATAGACTAGCGACTAGCATTCTTCAACCTACTTTGTCCTGGGCCTTCCTTTCCAGTTCTGTCCAATTTCTGTCCATTCTTCTCATACCTGTCTCTTTTCGTCTTCTCTTCCTTCAACCTTGAGGATTCCAATTAAGGGCTTGTTTCGTGACACGGTTGAGTGCTCTCTTCGATGTGTGTCATATCCACTTCCAACACTTCTTCCTGGTTTCTCCCTCCGCTGGAATCTCGTTTGTTCTCTCCCACAGGAGATTGTTGCTCATGGTGTCTGTTCAACAGACTCGAAGTATTTTGCGTAGATAAACGTTAATGAACACTTATCTTGTGGATGATGGCTTTCGTGTTTTTCCAAGTTTCGACCCCATACAGTAGAACAATCTTGACATTCGTACTGAAAATTCTGATTTCGGTGTTTCTAGGTAGTTTTTTGGGTTCCAGATGTTCTTCAACTGTAGAAACGCTCTCCTTGCTTTTCTGATCCGCGCCTTCACATCTGCATCAGATCCACCTTGCTCGTCAACGAGGTTGCCCAGATATGTAAAGGTGTTTACATCCTCCAACGCTTCTTCGTCCAGTGTGATTTGGTTGTGTTGTTGTTGTGTTGTATCGAAGAATCTTGCTTTTCCCTTAGTGTAGGTTGAGACCTGCTGCTACACTAGTCATCTTCTGTTGAATTTGTTGTTGCGTGTGGGATAGAAGAGCCAGGTCATCTGAGAAGTTCAGCTCGTGTAGCTGAATCTGAGTTTTCCATTGTATCCCGTGCTTCCCTCTAGATGTTGACATCTTCATGATCTGGTCGATCACCAGGAGGAAGAGAAAGGGTGAGAGTAAGCAACCTTGCCTGACATTGCTCTTCACTCGGAATGAGTCTGTGAGTTGTTCCTCATACACGATTTCGCAGTATAGTACATCGTAAGAGTTCCGTTTGTTGTTGACTTTTACGCTGTCATTGCTATATATTCCACATATTTCCGTTTGTCTGCTCTGATGCTCCTTTTTGCTTGCTTGTTTCCTTCTGTTTATTTGGTTTGTGCCTTGGCTTTCTCTGCCCTTTTTTGTCTGATATTGATTGCGGCTTCTTGTTCCTCCTTTCTTGAACTTTTTCAAGAGTGCCGACAGAGATCCATTCCTTTTGATGGTGCTTCTTATGGCCCAGAAACTCGTGACATATTGAAGTGATTGCCTGCTTGATCCCTTTCTAGTTGTTCTCCGTCGAAGTTTCCTTTCCATTGAGTAGATCATGAAAGGCCTGGGATCTATTGCTGACGGCTATCTTGAGTTCATTGAGCTTTCCATCATCCCGAAGGAAAGCCGTAATAAATGTTTGTGATGCTGTCGCTCTGTCGCTCAGTTTTTCTTGAGTTTCAGTTTGGAAGTTATTGAATGTTTGAACTTGGGATAAACGTTTGTAACTATTTTATTTACAGAACTGATGTTTGAAATAATGGCCTCACTGGATCTGTTTTCTGAAAGGTAGCGGAAGGTATATCATAGTTTCCGTAGCGGCGGTGATTGTAGCTATTGCTAGTGCATAGGTTGGGCCACTTGGTCTGTAGCTCTTTTGCGATTCGACACCGAATTGTAATTCTGTTAAAGGTTATTCTAACCTTGTTAAGTATGGGAATGTGCTTAAGTAGTGACTGACAGGTACTGAAGTGATTAGCTTCCATAATTCTACTTAGCGGAAAAAGAATAGAACAGAATTTTTAGTCTTGACGTTACTTAACCTTCGTGCTACACACCAGGAGTGGGAAAATCCATGCTCTTTAAGTAGAGTCTTTTTAACAGACTTTAGACATGCACTGTCAGGTATGTTATACTCAATGGCACTTAGCATACACCGAAGTCTTTTTTTAGCACTTCTAAGGATATATGGTCAATTGCCATTTCATCTGAGTTGTTACTGATCGCCAAGACGGTAAAGCTAGTTCTTTAGGAGGATCTGACTCAACTGCAATTTTGGGTGGATGTTAAAGTATTTAAGCTGAACACTTGATACATGGATAAGTAGAAATACTTCTTTGTGTCATAGAGATATCTCATTTTTATCAAAAATCAAGGATTTTGCACGATGATTATCTCGTCAATTTGATGTGCCCTAAAATCCGGTCTTTGGCACAACACAGTGTTTTATGACAACCTACTAATAATTTTTACTGTTCAAATATACCTTGCTTTTTACCTAGAGGCGTTGGTGATCCATTGCTGCTAGATATGGCAGCTTCGGCAGCATACACAGATTCATTCACTCGCAAACACAGGACTTGTTGATATGTTACTGGATCCTCACGAAGGTGCTTACCAGGGCGGTCAAAGTTAAATTTGCAATATTGGGTGACTTTCAGGTTCTATTCATTCTTAGTTATGCCCAATATTTTTGCACGATGATTATCTCGTCAATCTAATGTGCCCCAAAATCCCATGGTACAGCTGAAAATAGGGAGTGTTCGCTCTCTGTTTTGAAACGCCCTTATTACCACGCGTAAATAACCACATTCAGGGAAGACGTACCCTGTCTGCTCACAACGACGGCGTTTTTACAAACCTGTGATCATAAAAGTATCCATTGTCCTAAATTTTGGCCGGTTCGGTGGATACAGAGTATCCACCTTGGGATTTTGAAAAACTGTGATTCTGCACCAACGATCCATCTTTGCTTCAGTATTCTGGGGGGAATAAATGGCATATGAACTTGTTACTAGTCACTAGTTACTGTGTGACTGCATCTTCTAACATTTATCCACGGTTTTGTGGATTAGACCTTTGGTTCATCGTCTCGGCGATCGATCTTAGAAGACTACCTGCTTCAGTTTGAGTTGCAAGGTGGTATTTCAACAAGTTCGGGAATTCGATTATTCATGTCACGCGTATGTATTTTGGTGCATCTTTACACCAATTTTTGTCTAAATAAATCGATAGAATCACTTTGATATACCACTGATATGAAAATTTTTCTTTGTCAAGCTCACAATATTAGGCGTAAGCACATAATTTTAGGCTAGCTAGTTACCTGATAAATCTGCACGTTAAGTTAAATGAACTGTATTTTGTTCATCGTCACGTCACCACCAAACTCAAGATGAAGTTATAAGTAATATAAGAGCTTTGTTGATAATGCAAGGATGCTATGCAACTGATTGCTGATGTCACAAACTCATGCTTTTATTTACTCTAAATTTTCACTGTCTTATTCGGTAGCTATCCTGGGGTTTTGCGTTTTTTTGATACCATCAAGTTCATTACTTCAGTTTTACTATAAAACTTTCTGCTGATGTAACAGTTAAAAATTGTGTATACAAGTAACTAACCGAAAACCTATTCGCCATTTATTTTTCAACCTAAACAAGTCAACACTTGTTTACTTGGAATAACACTTTTAACTTTAAATGAACTGATATTAATCAAAACACTTTCTAACAATTTCATAAAACATCTGCGTACGATTTCATAACTAAATGAACTACGATTATTATAAGAGAGTGATGTTGGCTTGGACCGAAACCTGGGACGCACATCTCGTCCTATTTTTGGGCTCGTCAGCTGGATGCATCTGCATTCCAGAGTTGACATTCACTCTGTACGTTCAAACCATCCATCTGTGCTCATAATAATTTTAACCTGAAGGCGATATTGAGGTAATTCGCTCAGAATGTACATATGCCAAAGAGGTTGATTAGTTGCAGTCCTAAACATCAATGGAAAGATTGAAACAACCAATAGTACTGTTTGGTTAATCAGCCACTTTCGATAAAGCATTTCCCTGCAGCCGGTTAGTATCCCTCTAACCCCCAACCTTATACATAAAGGTGTACTTATACCTGCATTTTTTTCTCTATTTAGGGAAATACAGTTTTCTGGGAATGAACACACTCTTCACTCGTCCAGCTGGTACTTGTACTATTACTAATTTGGATAAGAAAAGCGACTGATTAACCTGTCATAAAATTTTCTTAAATTATAAACCATCTGTGAAATGTCATAAATAAAATAATCTTTTATATTTTTATCTGTTAAAAGGCTTCTGTAAATAAACCATGTAATGTACTAGTCAACTTACGATTTCAAGATAACGTTTTTGCCGAAGCTAAATGTATTGCAGTAAATCCATTAAAACCTGAGTTAGTTGCCATTGGTGGGAATGAACCATTTGTACGGATGTTCGATCGACGCAAATTAACACTTTCTACCTGTGATAGCGCTACACCACAAGAGAGGATGTAAGCTTTTTGTGTAAATATGTTATTATCATATTAATTAAGAAGGTATCTACTACTACTTTCCGTCATTGATTTTTAATTCTTTTTCTCAACTATAACTTCTGTATATTTGATAGAATTTATTCCTGTTAGCATATCTTTTGATAGGTTGTTGTAAAAAAAATTCGAACTACCTACGAAGTTTTAAATTTACTTTCATTTAATTCACATCCCCACTGGTTCATCTTCACAGTCTTTCCACGATCCTATAATTACACAAACTTTTAAAAATGGTTACCGTCATCATTTCTATAGATAAGCTTATCAGAAATCCTTTTATATTAAGCTTATCCTTATTTGTCAATAGCTGCGTTGGCAAATATATTTTTCGTATTATATTCGAAATCGATCTTACTTATTTGAGGTTTTTGTAACATGAGTCGGTTCTATTTTTATTTGTAAGTAGTGTGCTTTGTAATGAAAAGGTCGCTGTTTTTTCTCTAGATCTAATTTATGCGGAGCTATAATACAACTTTCTGAATGCATAATGAATAACAGCCTTTTGGGACTTTTGAGTTATTCAGTCTATATATTATTACATGTTTGAGTGAGGAACTATTTTTCATATGGATGCTAATTCATGTCTAAATACTTCAATAAAAAAAATTTAACTGATCAGGCGTTTGCAACGTACAATCTGACAAAAATATTCTTCGTCTCAAGATCTTTGACTTCACATCAATACAACGATATTAAGTTCGAAAATGAAGGAACCAAAGTAATATAAGTGGTCTTGGAAACTGGACATTTAATATAATTGGAAATAAACTAGTTCAAATAATGGACAGTGTGAAACACAGTACCTAGTATCTAAAGATCACAAAAAAAATCTAAAACTGATGTTAAAAGATGTAAGCCACGGTAAACATCTCAACATCTTTTGATTCACTTAGTTTAAAGGATTGAAAAACTGTATCGTTTCCATTTGTTTAATTCTACTAACTGTTGTTTCTGTTTTATTCAGAGTTACTTGTTGTTGTTCATTATAGCAGAAACACGTTGTCTTTTCCTACAATGATCCATCACACAGTCCGTATATTCCGCCTAATGTATGCATGAATAAAATAGCTATTAATTCATCAGTACATGATTTTAAGAAAGCTAATGTTATGTAGCGCTTGTAAGAGTTTCAGTCCCATTCGCTTTGCATGCGTTCATCTTTTCGATAAAATTTATGTAAGATTTTTATAGTTTTAAATCACGGATCGATTTTTAGCTAGAACCACTATTGGAAATCGTAGTACGAGACTTCCTATCAGTGTGCTTCCACGACTTCGTGGCAAGGAATCTAACCCCAGGCCCTCTGATCTCGCATGTGAACGCCTAACCTCTAGATCACTGAACCGGCATCGAGCCGTGTTGATGTCTAACTTCAATTTACAATATTATACTAGCCCTATCGATTTCTTGTGATAGGTAACTCTCATAACCGACATGGTTGAAATCATTTGTTTACGAACTCTCACTAGAACTCCAGAAGTTTTGTTCTGAACCTATTCACTGGTGTGCACATGATTATTACTAGTATAGATCGATTCATGGAGATTTATAGAATTCTCGTAGTTTTAAATTACGAACCGACCATAGTTAAACGTGCTATATAAACTAGCATAAGTAGTTTGTTTTAGTAATTTTTTCTTTTCAACCAATTTGTCATAAAATCTCTTTATAAATATAATTGTTCATTGAATAATTCTGATCATAGGAAATCTCTTCACACGCTCACGTACATGCGAAATATTGTGCTGAAAGGTCACATGATTATAACCCAATATATGGCTAGAATTCACATCATATTCTTCATACGCTTCAAATATTATCCTGTGCATAACGATACATAGTAATAATAAATCTATAAATTCAGTTGCATATTGCAATGAATCCTGAACGTTGTATGTGATTTTAGTGCTTATCCAGATCTTGTTTTAACGTAATGAAATACCACTTCATTTAAAAAAATCTTTACAGTCAATTCCGGACTAGTAGTTGAATATTTGCTAATTTCTTAAAAGTGAAGATCCTAATGCATCACTTTTGATGTAGTTAAAGTGCCAGACAATTTATGGTGAAATTTAATTTAAACGTTGAAATATCATCTAAAACCCACATAAAAAGGGAATATTATTATTAATACTGTTATTATGATTGTGATTAATATTGTTATCATTCATTAGAGTGTTATGGAGATTGTCGTTTTCCATTGAAACTATGAATGAATAATTGTTAGCCACCATTAGAAATCTAGATTCACTGGACGGCCGTTTCGTCCTAGTATGAGACCTTTCAGCAATGCGCATCCATGATCCACGCGCGCGAAATGCCGGCTCAGTGGTCGAAAGGTTGAGCGTTCGCGCACGAGACCGAAGGTCCTGAGTTTGATTCCCGCGTGCGGAAATCGTCGATGTGCATTGCTGAAGAGTCCCACATTAGGACGAAACAGCCGTTCCCTGTTTCCAAGTTTCTATTGGTGGTCTAACAATGATCCATTCATGATTTCATTGTGAATTATTATTATTATTATTGTCATTAATATTAGTATTATTGTTAATATTTTCCCGCTTATCTCGATTTCTCTGGTTGATTTTTTCTCCAAAAATTTCTTAATGTGCAAACTATTTTAATATATTATTTAGACAAGTTGCATCAAGGAGAACTGCTACGAATACTCCATCCAGTTTATTGCCTTCGTTTCCATATGGTGCAGCTAAATATTTTGTTCCGTGTAAGTATTAAAATCACACTTCTTCCCAATTATTTATGTAAATATAGCTGGTAAAAAAGAACTATAGGCTTTTACCTCAGGTCGATGGAGCACTTTGAAGAACTCAATCGACCAACCCCATCGAACCCACATTAAATCGAAGCAGCACCTACGGACCTCCCAATTGATGTTGACCCACCAACAGTAGCAGAAATCAGTATCGCCATCAGACAAATCAGGAGCGGCAAAGTAGCAGGACCAAACAACGTTCTGGCTGAGGCTCTGAAAGCAGACATACCAGTAACTGCAAAGATGATGAATACTCTGTTCTGCAAGATTTGGCAGGATTAATAATTACCAACAGACTATCAAGAAGGATATCTCATCAAAATACCGCTAAACATCAACTTCATTGACTATGAGAAGGCATTCAACATCATGGACAGGATGAAACTATGGAGGCTTCTTCAATGGCGTGCCTGAGAAGATAGTCAACATCATACGGAACTCTTATGATGTACTATACTGCAAAATCGTGCTTGGGGGACAACTCACAGACTCATTCCAAGTGAAGATCGATGTCAAGCAAGGTTGCTTAATCTCACCCTTTTTCCTCTGGTGGTTGATTGGATTACAAAGGCCTCAACATCTCAGGGGAAGCTTGGAATACAGTGGACAACTCAGATGCAGCTGGACGACTTGGACTTAGCAGATGATCTAGTTCTTCTATCTCACAGAAAACAACAATTGCAGAAAAAGATGATGACCAGTGTAGCAGCAGCCTCTACCTCTGCAGCTGTAGGTCTCACCATGCAGTAGGGAAAAAGCAAGATCCTTCAATACAATACAGTATGCAACAACCAGATCATAAGTGACAGTTAAGCTCCGGAAGATGTGGAAACGTTTACATATCTGGGCAGCATTATTGATAAACAATGTGAGTCTGGTGCAGATGCGAAGGCGCGGATCGGCAAAGCGAGGAAAGTCGTAACAACTATTCACCAACACAAAAGTCAGAACGAACGTCAAGACAGTCCCCCTGTAGCGGGCAGAAACTTGAAGAACCAAAAGCGCCATTATCCAAAAGACACAGGTGTTTATTAACAGTTGTCTACTCCAGATTTTATTGTATACTTATTTAAACAACATTCTGGTTGTTATTTTGATTTTACAATATCGTTGGTTTCAACTAAAATTATACTGTCAAGATATATCTAATTACTTAAAATAATTTTAACAACTAAATGATATCAGGTAGACATCTTTCTGGAATTTACGCTGCGAAATTATGACTAAAGCATCTAAAATGAGCCTGATCTAGCAAATAGTTAGCAATTGATGTGTTGCTTAGTAAAGTTTTACCCCTAAACGCGTATTTGACAGTTACAAAGTCATTGCTTTTCTGACGGATTGGTTGTTCATGATTGTCAAGAAACCAATGTACATGTCAACACTTTTACAGTTCTGGTAGACATTCTTATGGTTAGTGTAGTCAATACTATAATATAACCCATTAATATCAAAACAGCCCATCCGTCTGACGAAACAACAAACCGAACATTATGCTTCTGAGTAGGATTTTCAGTCACCGCCAAATCAATTAAATTATGTTTTATTGGCTTGAAAATATTCTTCAGATCTCTTACAATCGCTCGTTTGCACTGACAAGCGGTACTCGTTAGATTATAAAATATCAGGGAAATAAAAAAAGAAATGCTTAGATAGTAACCTTCTATCTAAATAGTTGCCTACTGTTGCCTATCGCCGCTGCCTTTTCAATCTCTCTCGCTCTCGCTACCCACCACTGCTCACGATCATTGCGTAGGCTTTTTATCAGCCTGTGTCTAAGCTGACTCCGCTCCTCATCGCACTCAGAGCCAGGCGGGATGAGTTTTCGAGCGTCCTAAGGAGGTGCATTCATTCTTTGTGTTCTCTCAAATCCTAAACTTTTTAATCCCTCATCAGTTTATCTTTATCTTTTAAGTTTATTTCATTAGATTCTACTTCTTGAATAATATCTCTAATCCTAATCTTTCCGATTACTGCTAATACATTTACTACCTCTACTACTATAGGATTTGAAGTGACAATTGCATTTCTGTGCTAATGTGGTATGGCAACATGAACTAATGTACGTACGTACGTAGTTTTACGTTGCTATTGATTGATTGATTGATTGTCTACGCCAGATACTCCGGATCTGTCGGCTAGTCACCATCAGTAACAACCTACTATGGGAGAGAAAAAACCAGCTTTTTGATGAGCAAGAAATTAGGCAGAAACTCTGGAGGTGCATAGAACACACATTGGGGAGTTCATCTAACTACGGTATGAGGCAAGCTGCTACTTGGAACCTTCAAGGCGAAAGGGAAAAACGTAGACCAAGGAACACACCACCTAGAATTGGAAGCATACACACAAATAATGAATAGTAATTTGGTAGGACTGGAAAGGAAGGCTCAGGAGAGAGTTGGTTGGAGAGTGCCGGTCGGCGGCCTATGCTCCGTGAGGGATAACGTGCGTAAGTAAGTAGGGTTTTCACCTCACCTCATGAAAAACGAGTTTCATACCAAAACGAAATATCTGCCTGTTGTCTTGTGGTTTAGGGTGATTTTTTAGTGAATATATATGTTTAGTAACAACGAACTTTGCCGAAAAATCTCAGCTAACCCTGTGACTGAATGATCATTATGGAATCTCTAGAGATCGAGTTCAAGAAGAATTTCTTGCTTTTTTGGGATTAAGAAGTGACCCGTGTTGAGAGTAAGACAGATATCACTGATATTCTCAATACTTTGCAGATTGAATGGAAATGGAATCGTAGACCATTGGGTCCTGGCTCTGCGCATGTATGGTGTCGTGCTTCCGGGAAGCTCAGGAGGTTGTGAGTTCTCTCCCTAGCTGATTCATAGCTGCACTGCTGATCAGTTTCAAAACAAAGGAAATAGCTGTAGAATGTCCAGTATGTTTTCTGTCATTATGATAAGCTAGTAATAGAATGTCAGTGCATTTTTATTTCTTAGATTAACATTTTTGATCTACTTTCTTGTGATGAAACCCACGTATAAACTATGCAAGTTATCAAACCACTTGACTTTCAATCACTATTTGTTGTTTCACGTCCCATTCCACCTTCTTCAGTTTGAGCATCATAGTTTTACCACTGGATTCCGCACAAAATATGTAGCTCAAAATGTACTTGGCACATTAATCACGTAGATTTACTTAAAGATAAAATGTGATTACAAATCTTCGTCTTACATAGTGTGTATTACAGGTCCTAGTCTTTATAGAGTTAACTTGTCATTGACTGTTATCATGCACTTATTTGATTTAGATGTAAGGTACATTTTTTGAATTTTATCAAGAAATTATTAGTTCACTTTTTATTTTAAAACAGATAGTAAACTACTTCTTACTTATTCTTTTGCTCAATCTCTTTTTGCATCATTTTCTGTCATTTCAGCACATCTACCAGGTAAAATATTAACTGATGGTTTAGACTATCGAACTTTCAGTGTAACATCAGTTAGTTTTAGTTCAGACGGTGAAGAACTATTAGCAAATATCGGACGTGATAATATTTATCTATTTCATCTAGCTTCACAAAATGAACCATTTCAATGTCAGTCATCGTTTAAATCAACTAGATTATTGTATAATTTATCTCCATCACAACCAGGGGATAGATTTCGTTCTTTTCATATTCCTACGTGGTTTTGTCCTTCAACAATGGAATGTTCTGATTCTCATTCAGGTAATATGGATATTACTATTTACACTTGTTCCAAATTCTTACACTGTCTGCACTGAGTTTTGTTTGTTTTCCGTTGTCAATATTCGATATTGACGTGATCGATTTCATTTTGCCAATTCGCCCTTAAACATTATTTTGAATAGTGGTTTATAATACAATTCAAGACACAAGTTCCTTCCTATTTGGGACTTGCCAGTTAGTTGATTTTAGGTTTATATATTTTTAAACTTAAATGGCAATTGTTTTCAAAATAGATCATTATTCAATCAACTTTATCTCCATCTTTTTGTAGGCTTAACTTACGATTGTCGTTGTAATTCTTCTATGGCGTTTGACTACGCAACCGTACTGGCTTCGCGATTAATTGAAGCCAAGGCGTATGCTGTTGCAGTTCACAAGTATAATCAACTTATTCAACAATATCCCTTCTGTCCACAGCTGTATACAGGCCGCGCTACTGCTTTAATTAAACGAAATTGGTTAGTCATTTCTTGTCTTTCATACTTCTGTGATGGGTTCATAAAATCTACTCATAGTCTATTTTATTTGTTTAATAGCTTGCGTCTCATCCGAATTCTTTATTATATTCCGATGTGGTATCATTCAATACGATTCACGTTATGGAAATAATATAAAAATTATTTATCAAGAATTACCACTAAAATTATAATACAAAGTCATAATTAAGTAATTCATAAATAAATATCAATCTGTTAAATACTAACTGAATTGAATTGTTGAATTCTTGTTAGAACTATCAAAGGTTATTACAGAATATTTTATGAAAAGTAACTTAAAAACATCTACGCCTGCTTCTGTTTTGTAATTCAAGTCGAATATGTCTGTTCTCCAATCACGGAATATAAAGTTCTATCCCATATAGTTTTTGAAATGATGTGATTAATTGATCATTCTTTATCAGCGTCATTCTAGTGTAATCGTATATGATACTTGTGTTATAATCATGGTAATCAGATGTTTTGTTTATGGTCTGTCTGTCTTTTAGATTTGTATTAATCATATAGTGGATTTCTTTTATTCAACCTTGCTTTTCATCTGCGAATAGTTCAATGGACATGAAATAGATGTCATAAGTGATCACTTTTTAAAACTATATGTTTTAATCAGTAATAGGTCTAAGTACGTTGATAACCATTTCAGTCTTTTCGAATGAGACTTATTAGCAGTGCAGAGTGATCAAACTTTAAGTTGGCCTCTCTTGTCGATTTTACATTTGGTTCGTTTCTCAGGTTATCAGCTTAGCTTATCCTCACCCATCTAACTCAGGTTCCATAAGAAATTTGTAATAATGACCCTAAAAGTCTTGTATACACTGTTCTCCGCCATGTAAATTCGCTAAAATTGACAAGAAAAAAATACTTATTATTAATATCGATTTCGCTTGGAAAGTTAGTGCTTAAAACTGGGTTTATTGATGGTCAGCCTGATCATTTATTTGTCATACGTACACAAGATCGAACTGTTAGATTTTGAGTAAACTTTAGACGTATTCTTCTATTTTAATTAAAGGAATGGCGATATTTACAATGCTCTATTGGATTGCCGAAATGCTATGCAACTTACTACTCAAACTAACAATGTTTCCTATAGTATCCAGAACAACAAAACTATTAATAAGTGCCAATTATTAAGCAGTTCTGTTTACCTTACAGCTTTGTTACTCTCAGTTCGATGTTTATTATGTTTGGATTGGTTAAATGCTGCTCGTATTCAACTTAAGCAGGCGCTGGACAGCTTTCCTAATCTTTTTAAACATTTTACGCATCAAAAGATTTCGGAAATGACAATCACTACACCTTCCTCTTCATCTACTAACACACCAACAACCAGTAACATTCATACAAGCCCGTCTAAATACAGTTGCAAATCAGACAACCTGGTTAAAGTGTTTGAACATTTAAAGTCGAAATTACTGGCGAGAGAAAAACAATTAGAATCAAAGTCTAACAAATCGAAAACAGAAGATAAGGAATTTAGGAAAAGTAATACATCAATACATGCTGATAATAACAATCATACAACTTGTGATAGCGATGATGACGATAATGATGCCAAGGATTCATCAGTATCAAAATCAGAAACGTTTTCTTACTTGCAATGTGATAACGGTATGTTTCAATTTTTAAATTTTAATCAACTGATTGAATGAAGTTGATTTTCATTTCTAAGGCGTGTGTATAACAAATTAAAAAATAAATAGAGTTCTTAAATGTACATGTATGCTAATTTACTCAATGATAATTCGGATTTACTCGTTCATATCCTTAATTAACACTGACTTGAACAAGATGATATATAAATTAACTATAGTATATCAGCCATTTATTTAGTAACATTCTACGCTTTGTATCTATTATAATCAACCGTTTTAATAGACAGTGCAAATAGCAATTTCTTTGCAAAAAACAAATATGTATTTTATTCATACACCATGGTCCTGTGCAATGGAATTGGTATTATGAGTGCTTTTTTGCTCAATACAACTAAGAAATAATAGAGCACAAAATAGTAGTCAATAAGTTAAACGGAGACGTACAACAGAAGGAATAGAGAAAGAGAATGATCCAATTATTGAATAACTATATATTATGAATATCAACAATGACCTTCCGTAAACTAGTCCCGAATGTTACAATATTCCCAGTATCCGTTCCATCACATCATTAAGTATTATTATTGACTTCATTAAGTTATTAAATAAGACTCTTGGCACGTTTAATTCTAAGTATTACGATTTCAAAGTTATCATGGTCACTAACAGTACGAACTTGATACCATCAAATCCATGAAATGGATGTTATTATTCATTAAAAGTTGACCGCTTTCAGCATTAATATAATAAACTGGGAAATCACTTACTTGTTTCAGCACTTGACTTTAAACCATCAGATCGTAGGTTGTAACCCATTACTATCTACTTCGATTTCGGCAACTAAGTAGAATTCTGATCTACCATAGTCAGTCAGAAAGCCAGTTACTAAGTAGAACTTCGTAGGAACGCACATCATTTTAAGTTGCCATGACTCATTAGCACAGAAATGCGATTGTCATTTCAAATCCCATAGTAGTAAAAGTATTGGCAGTAATCCGACAGATTAGGATTCGAAGATGTTATTCAAAAAGTACAATCTAGTGAAATAAACTTAAAAAGAAAACGATAAAAATGATGGTGAATTCAGAGAATTAGGATTTGAGTGAACCCAAACAATCGATGCACCAGCTCCATTGCGGAGGTTTTGAGCCATGTCATTCAAGGTCTCTAACCACCGCGTAGACCCCAACTAGGTAGTCTACACTTACCAAAATGACTCAATCCACTTGTCGGTGACTTCATGAATTTCTGCCATGTTTTGGTTTGGCCGCCCCTAACTTTCTTCCAACCTACTCCACAACCTACACCACAAAATACAGTTCGACGAGGCAGTTGGTGGTTAGGCATACATAACACATGTCCATACCACCTCAACTGCTGAAGTTTCACTACTTAATCTGTTGACCTGCTATCCTTACTTAGTACTCGTTTCCTAACGACAGCATTGCCTACTCGATAGTCCCATGATACACGAGCAATGCTTCGGAGACACCTATGATCGAAAACTAGCAACCTCCTCTTACTGGCCATGTTTCGTAGCCATAAAGTGGAACGGAGTGAGTGGTTAGCAGACGAATATCTCGTCTGCGCCATAAGTGACGCAAGTTGGCGAAAGCCAGTCGAACCGTCTGTATTCTTGCTGAGATTCCTTCAGTCACCAGGCCATCAGCAGTAATGAAACTCTTGAGATAAGTGAAGTGGTCGACACGCTCAACTGCTTCACTCACTATCACTAGTTCGGGTGGCGATGCAACCCAATCTTGAAGCAATATTTTACATTTGCATGCTTGCATTGTTGCTTAAGGTAGTCAGAAGACTCTGCATTTTGTCACCGTTTTCACCAAGTCGAACAATGTCATCGGCATATTCTAAGTCAAAGAGCGAATGTATCCTAGTAAATGTTCAACTCTTGAGAAGTCAGATGGTGTAAGTGTCGTATCGAAAAGCAGGTTAATGACAAATTTAAACGACAATGAATAAAGTCAACAAGCGAGCTTCCTGGTAGAAGGTCCACTCCTGAAAATTTAGACGAAGATATTGTTGTATCTAGCAGCATGTCTATGACAAAATTAAACAAAAATGGTGAAAGTAGACATCCCTGATGGACACTAGTTGAAGTAATCAATTCCGATGACATTTCACCATAAGCTCTCACTCGACCAGTAGTGTTCGAATAGAGAGCTTGTATAAGGTTAATGTACTTTTCCGGTACACTTTTTAGTGACAGACACTGCCACAGAACTTCACGATCAACAGAGTCGAATGCCGCATTACGTTCAAGGAATACAACTACAGTTGGACGTCAAAATGTTTGTCTATGTTCCATGATCTGACGAATAGTGGATATTTGGTAAATACATTCACTTCCAGGTCTGAAACCAGCCCCGTTTTCTGTACTGTCCTCTTCACGAGCCCTTGTTAGGTGTCAAAGTATTATCGAGGCCAACGATTTAGAAACTATATTAGTTAGACTTGTTCCCCTGTGATTGTCACAAAAAGACTTTTGTCCTTTCTTATAAATTGGGAACATCAAAGATTGGGATCAGTCAGATGAGATTACGTCCAGTTCTCAAATTCTACTCAAGGTCTCAGTCAGTCCAAATACTAAAACTGGACCACCGTCCTCAAAACTCTCATTTGTGAGCCTATCAAGACCCGCTGCTCTTCCTCACTCTGGATTTCTTATAGCTTTCTCAACTTCATGAATAGTCGGACTTTCATTGATTTGTCACTGAGGTTGACTGGAGATCGTGAGCCACTGAAGTGTGACCGAAGGCCAGTTGAATTGATCCCTGGAGTGTTCTGTTCATCGATCCAATATCCTGGGTTGAGAATGATTGATATGACCATCTTTTTCTGAGACAGGTTCGCTAACAGTACCAGTTTCCTTGATAAGTGTGAACAGTTGTCTTCGGTTTGCTATCGCCACTGCCTTTTCCTTCGCTGTTGCTTTCACTGCCCACCACTGTTTACGATCATTGCGTAGGCTTTTTATCAATCTGCGCTTAAGCTGACTGTGCTCTTCATCATGTTCAGAGCTAGATGGGATGAGTTTCCGAGCATCTATCAGTTCGGTGGATGCTACTGAGATCTTCGACTTCTTCCTAGCCTTATGGTTTACCTTACGAGGAGATATCACTGCTGTTTTCACAGCTGGTTTAAGTTAATTTAATGCGAATTTTAGTAACAATCAACTTTATTACTACTCACTTATCGTGCTTGTGCCTTGCCAGCGTATTGCAAACAGGTCAGTTAATGGTTTTACTGAATCTTGAATATGTTTGGAATAAATGAAGCCTTTAGTCCGTTCCTTAAGAACGAAATAAATTTATAGGGTTAAACTCTTGCTTCACTATGCCACTATCGTATCGTCCCTGTAGATACCCGCGATATAATATTGAATAATTGGAGAGACACAGTTCTATTCTATTTCAGTTATGTTCTATTAAATACAATGCATTATTGCTTTATCCTTATACTGTTTTCCCAAAAAATTGAGTTGGTAAATGCTAACTAAATAATGGTGTTGTTTTTAACCAGAATGTATTACGGAATAGAATTTCGATTTTTTTTTACAACATTTTTAAGTCTAGGAGCAATATACGTTGTAAAGCAGCTCATCATTTGTAAAAAAATTTAAGTTAAATATGTATTCTATCTTTACATCAACATTTTACAACATGGTAATATCGTATGAAATATGTTAATTTAGTACTTGGATCTGTCGATCTGTTACTGTTCTTTGGTTCTGGTCCTAAGGATCATGCAAGCCAGTAGCTTGAGGCGTATTCAATGCAGCTCAGAAAGTAAGCCGATGACAGCTGGCTTAAGAACTATACGGACGTCCACGAATATGTGTACTCGTCGCATTTACGGTATGTGCGTTCTATATGTAGTAATCATCCTTCCAAGTCTCACTAAAGGAAATGCTGTTAAAATCCGTGATTCACCAGTGAAAAGTCAAAGCTATAAATCACCATGATTTTTATTTTATATATAATGACATCTTTTACATCTAACAGGACAATAATTTTCCGTAAAATTGATTTTAACTTTGTCTAGCTCTTCTTTATCTTCCTAGTATCTGAACAGATCTCCTCAGGGTCTTGGAATGGTTCTAATTATGACAATCGAATGAAGTCAAAACTATGTGCTTGTTTAAATTGTTCATGTGACCGAATGTGGATAGAAGAAGATGAAAGAGAAAGGCGAAAGAGTGCTATCGATTTTTCAGCATCCTATATTGGTCATTGTAATTCAATAACAGATATTAAAGAAGCGAATTTCTTTGGGAGGTAATTTAAAAATAAGTGATAAAGAATAGTGTGTCGATTGCGCCAGTTGCTTAATCAATTCTCCCTTTTTATCATCAGAACAGAGTTTTCAAATCTTTAAATATAAAATACTTATGAGATTGTAATTTATGAATCAAAACTTAGTGAATGATATGTAGCAATATTGAAGAGATTGTGTTCTGTTTCCTTTTTTTAAAAATCTCATTTTGAAAGGGCAGAGGAAAGTGAAGTTAATGATTTTCATATTACAATACAGTTCATCGAAAAAAGTGGTAATTTGAATACATGGAAAAAGGCAACGTAATAGTAACCTGTTATTTTTCACAACACCATTTTATTCATTATGATCCGATTGTTGTGCTCATATAATTCATAATATCCATGAGCAAAACTTTAAAAAAAAATCGACAACCAATTTTTTAATACTTAGCTTTTTGTTGCTCCATCTACTTTAAATTGGTTCTTCATTTAGCGTTAACACAACATTACTGCTATAAATATGTACGTTGTGTAGGCGAAATTTTACATACTTTAAATATCTTAATAGTTTGTACAATTTGGATAGACGAACTCCTTTAATACTTGACTACATCCAATTGAAAACTCCGCCAGTAGAACCTTCTGGGTTACTGCCGGTCCCAAACCATTTTAACGCTGCCATGAGAGTTGAAAAAAGAATTATGACGTCTCGTGATGAAAGCCGAGTTCCCTCGAAAGTCACGAGGCTGATGCCTACTCTGACTGGAATACTATTTCAAGTTGCGGCAGAAATGAAAAGATACAACCTGGAGGTGCTCGGCATCAGTGAACCGCATCGGACACAGGTAGGACAACTGAGACTACCTTCAGGGAAACTGCTGTTATACTCTGGTCATGAAGAGGAAAATGCTGCACATACACAAGGAGTTGCACTAATGCTTTCCAAACAAGCACAAAAGGCACTGATAGGATGGGAATCTCATGGAAACAGGATCATCAAAGCATCCTTCAAAACAAAGAAAGAGGACATGACAATGAACGTCATCCAAAGTTATGCACCTACCAAATACCATAGTGACGACATTAAAGATCAATTCTACAAGAGGATGCAGTCAATGGTCGACAAATGCTCACCAAAGGACTTGACCGTACTGTTAGGAGACCTAAATGCCAAGGTTGGAGTGGAGAACACTGGATATGAAGACAACATGAGACGACACGGATTGGGAGAGAGGAACGAAAACGGTGAGATCTGCAAACCTATGTGCCTTCAACAAACTGGTCTTCGGTGGCACAATATTCCCACACAAGCACATACACAAAGCTACATGGATTTCACCGGACCACACTATTCAGAACCAAATCGACCATATCTGTATCAATAAAACGTTCAGAAGGACCATGGAGGATGTGAGAACCGATAGAGGAGCTGACATAGCCTCAGATCACAACTTGAAAAGGCTGCAAGAGAAGGAAACATGAGACAATTATACGAAACAACAAAGAAGCTCGCTAGAAACCATAATAAACCGGAACGACCAGTGAAAAGCAAGGAAGGCAAAGTAATCAGCAACACTGAAGAACAGCGAAATAGGTGGGTAGAGCACTTTAAGGAACTCTTGAATTGAGCAGCTCCACTGAACATACCCAACATCGAAGCAGCATCCACGGATCCGATGCAGATGTGAGGGCGCGGATTGGCAAAGCAAGGGCTGCATTTCCGCATTTGAAAAATATCTGGAACTCCAAACAAATTTCAACCAAAACCAAAATCACAATTTTCAATACAATTGTCAAGACACTTTTACTGTATGGAGCGGAAATTTGGAGAACTACGAAAGGCATCATCCAGAAGATACAAGTGTTTATTAACAGTTTTCTACGCAAAATAATTCTGATTCGTTGGCGAGACACGACCAGCAACAACTTACTGTGGGAAAGAATAAACCAGATTCCAGTGGAGGAGGGAATCAGGAAGAAGCGGTGGAAGTGGATAAGATACACACTACGAAATGCACCTAACTGCGTCACGAGACAAGCCCTTGCATGGAACCCTCAAGTCAAAAGGAAAAGAGGAAGGCCAAGGAACACATTACGCCGAGAAATAGAGAAAGATATGAGAGGAATGAACAGAAATTGGACAGAACTAGAAAGGGAAGCCCAGGACAGAGTTGGTTGGAGAAAACTGGCGGGTGGCCTAAGCTCCATTTGGGGTAACAGGCGTAAAAAAAACATCCAATTGAAAATAGGTAGAAAATTACCAATGTTATCGCTGAAAATGTAAAATTAGAATGATAAAACACAATATAAATAGTTAAAGTTAAGTAGTTATGTGATAATCGCCCGTGACTAGACATGGGCGTCTTAGTAGCTTTAGACTATTCAGCATTGAATACCTTCAGTATCATGAGACCTGATACACCATCGAATATTCGAACCTACACCACTTTTTATCAGCATCTCAGATGTTGCCGTTTCGCTACTCAAGTTATGCTGTTCGTTATTTAATCATTACATGTAAAAGTTTCTAACAGTACATTAGCTATCTACTTAAACTGCTTTGTGATTTTAGCTATGGACAATATATTGTCGGTGGATCTGATTGTGGTGCATTTTTTATATGGGATCGTAATACAACTAATATAATGCGAATATTAAAAGCAGATAGTTCTACTGTCAATTGTGTTCAACCTCATCCGTCTATTTGTTTGTTAGCAAGTTCTGGAATTGACTCTGTTGTAAGAATATGGTCACCCAATTGTGAAGTAAGAGTATTATTAATCGCTAATTTTTAATAAGAACTTTCTTGGTTTGAGAGATATTTATATTAATGGAATGCTGTATGTACATCTCAATTCAACAGATAAACTATGACTTTTCACGTTTAAAGAATAAAAGTTAGTTGTATTTGTTCGACGTAATGAGAATTTATTTACTTGGTGCGTACTTATAATTATATTGAGTAATGCAAGCAACCTAAACTATGTCCTTTTACGTTGTCCATCAAGAGTAAAATAAATAAATCAGTGCTTAGTAATTTGTTGTGCAGGTTTTAAGTATGACAATTGGAATTAAATATTTTAAAAAGAGAGGTTTATTTGGTTGTCAATTGTTGCTTCTCAAATTAGTCTTTACATGATGCAACCGCTGCTGAAGATCAATGTTTGAATAAGTAAAACACATAAATCAATCTACGAGGTTCTAAACATTGTTCAGTATCAACTTCAGTAGGAGAGGTGTGAAAACTACTTATATGTGATCATACTTCACGCAGTTTTATTCTTGGAATTTCTAAGGCTCTATAAATTGTAGAAGCTGAAGACATGCATTCTATCCTAGTGGTGTTCAATAATATCCATCTTGATAAATTTTACATTAAAACATGAAACATTTTTATAATTCTATTTAATTTTATCTAACTGTTACTGGACATAGGGCTGCTGATTTGATACATTTCGATGTCATGTTGTACATCGGTCTTGTTCATTCTTCATATTGTATTTCTCATCAAAGACCAATCAACAGCCTTATCAATATTAAGTGCAGTTTATACGCTGCAATAAATAATCAAAAATTGATCACTTTTGCCGGTACTTTTTATATTGTCGGATTTTATAAGAAAGATTTATTTCCTTCCATATCCATACTAGTAGTTAAAAAATCGCAAGATTTTCACTAATGGTACTTCTTTTCCTCTTTTCCTCATCCCTGGATGCCCTGGTAAAGCTGAGGGTAGAGAGAACACTCCTCTCAAAATAGCCATAGGTTTCTAGTCTCTGCCCGAGTAGTCCAACTCGTTCCTTTCTCTCGGCGCTCGCGCCAATTACAACGTTGAGAGGTGAAAAGTGAATGTTTTAAGGTCTAGAGGATTCATCTAAGGAAACCCGGATTCTAAAGCAACGGCATATATTGGATCCACGATTCTAAAAGAACAAATAATGTATGAATCTATTTTGATCATCAACTAACATAAGACTGCATCTCTTAATTTTACTTCACTGACTTCGGGATTCGACAATGCAAGCATGTTTTGGATACTATTTCCCTGTCGAAATACAAAATGTTGCTTCATGATTGACTTGCATCGGCACCTGAACTAGTGACAGTGAGTGAAGCAGTTGAGCGTGCCGACTGCTTCACTTATCTGGGCTGGTGACTGAGAAATCTTTACCACCTTGTGTCACTTTTGGCGCAGACGAGATATTCGTCTGCTAACCGAAGGACGAGTGTACTGCGTATCACTTCACTCCGTCCCACTTTATGGCTACGAAACATGGCCGGTAAGAGGAGGTTGCTAGTTTTCGATCATAGGTGTCTCCGAAGCATTGCTCGTGTATCATGGGACTATCGAGTAGGCAGTGCTGTCGTTAGGAAAAGAGTACTAAGTAAGGATAGCAGGTCAACAGATGAAGTAGTGAAACTTCAGCAGTTGAGGTGGTATGGACATGTGTTACGTATGCCTAACCACTGGCTGCCTCGTCGAACTATATTTTGTGGTGTAGGTTGTGGAGTAGGTTGGAAGAAAGGTGGGGTCGGCCGAACCAAAACATGGCAGAAATTCATGAAGTCACTGACAAGTGGATTGAGTCATGTTGGTAAGTGTAGACTACCTAGTTGGGGTCTACGCGATGGTTAGAGACCTTGAATGACATGACTCAAAACCTTCGCAATGGAGCTGGTGCATCGATTGTTTGGGTTCACTCAAATCCTAATTCTCTGAATTCATCATCATTTTTATCTTTTTCTTTTTAAGTTTATTTCACTAGATAGTACTTTTTGAATAACATCTTCGAATCCTAATCTGTTGGATAACTACTAATACTTCTACTATCTCTACTACTATGGGATTGTTCTAAGTGATCATTCCTTATGGTTATTGTTGCACTAAGTAACTAAAATCGTTTGTTAGAAATATCTGGAAATGTATTCTATTTTTAATGGAAAAAAAATATTCTTTCGTAGTCGAATTCTCCGAATATTGTGCCAACCCTTTTTAAAACAGAGAATGTTCACTCTCAAAACATTGTCTTCTTATTATTGATTTTATTCAAATTTTCGTTTAAAAATAAGAGATTCATGTTTCCTCAAAATTAGTACTTTCCTTATTCAAAACAGAGATTTGAAAGTTAGTTTTTTTATTGATTCATTTCTCTCAACTTTGAATACTTCAGACATTTCTTGCACAACGTTGCCTATCTCAATGAAATATATCAAATCCGGTGATTCACTTTCCTTCCCATAAATCTTATTAATACTATTATCATTGTTATCATCAGTATTTTGAGAAAATTTATTCAGCATCCACCCATATTGACTACTAATTTACACTTCATTCATATCGTTCTTCATATTATGTGATTCCTGACGTTATTATCGTCATCTCTCCATGTTAAACATGTTTATGCGGATCATTAGTCTCACAATTTTATTTTATTTCTGAACTCGTCCAGTAGAAACACATCATAGAAGTCATTCTAACATTTACAATTTATTTTACAAACAGTCCTAAATTCACATGTTGCAATTTTAATCGATGTCATATATCTGAAGCCTGGTTACTTTTTTGGATTACTAATTTGGGTATATAACTTCGGAAAATTTATTAGAAAAACTCCGCCTGGAGTCCCCCTGGGGCTTCTGCCTGTCCCAAGCCAGGACAAGGGAGGAGGGTTGGGCATGAGGTTGGCAATCTCATCCCGTAGAAAACTAACTCGCTAGAAAAACGTCAACGAGAAAAAACAATTCAAATCATTTTAATTCTACTCTGAGAGCATAAGGTCTTCATTCAAAACAGTTATGCCGTCTCATGATGAAAGCCAAGTTCCTTCGGTAGTCACGACGCCGATGCCCCCTTCTGACAACCAGAGAAACCATTCTTTCAGGTACATGGAATGTTCGAACGATGTAGGAGACTAGAATTCTGTTTCAAGTTGCTGCAGAAATGAAAAGATACAAACTGGTGGTGCTTGGAATCAGTGAAACGCATTGTGCGCAGGTTGGACAACAAACGCTAGCTTCCGGCCATGAAGAAGCAAATGCCACATACATACATGGTGTTTCATTGGTGCTTTCCAAACAAGCACAAAAGGCACTGATAGGGTGGGAATCTTATGGACTCAGGATCATTAAAGCATCCTTCAAAACAAAGAAAGAGGACATGACAATGAACGTCATCCAATGTTATGCAACTACCAAATACCATAGTGACGACATTAAAGATCAGTTTTTCAAGAGGATGCAGTCAATAGTCGACAGATGCTCACCATAGGATTTGATTGTTCTGCTGGGAGACCTAAATTCTAGGTTTTTAATGGATAATACCGGATATGAAGAAAACATAAGACGACACGGATTGGGAGGATGGAGTGAATATGGTGAGAGATTCCTAAGCCTATGTGCCTTCAACAAACTGGTCATCTTTGGCCACAACGAGCCCTCCCAACATCGAAGCAGCATCCACAGACCTCCCAACCAATATAGTCCGACCGACAGTTAAAGAGATCAGCATCGTGATCAGACATATCAGGAGCGGCAAAGCAGCAGGGCCAAACAACCTTTTTATCTGAGGCTCTTGAAGCAGACATAACAGTAACTGCAAATAATTTGCATGCTCTGTTCTGCAAGATTTGGGAGGAAGAGCAATTATCGACAGACTGTCAAGAAGGATATCTTGTCAGAATACCAATGAAAGGAGATCTCGGTAAGTGTGAAAACTGCAGAGGCACCACTCTTCTCTGAATTCCAAGCAAAGTTTTCAACAGGGTATTGTTATACAGAATGAAGCACTTCGTAGGCACCCAACTTCGAGATCAACAGGCTGGATTTTGTAAAGATAGATCGTATACCTACCAAATCGCAACATTGCGGATCATTGTGGAACAGTCAACTGAATTGCATTCACCACTCTACATCAACCTCTTTGACTACTAGAAGGCAATTAACAGCAATGACAGGATGACACTATGGAGGCTTCTTCGATACTACGGCGTACCTGTTAAGTTGGTCAACATCATGCAGAACCCCTGTGATGTACTACATTGCGAAATCGTGTGTGAGGAACAACTCACAGACTCATTCCGAGTGAAGAGCAATGTCAGGCAAGGTTGCTTACTCTCACCCTTCCTCTTCCTCCTGGTGATCGACCAGATCATGAAGATGTCAACATCTAGAGGGAAGCACGGGATACAATGGAAAACTCAGATTCAGCTACACGAGCTGAACTTCTCAGATGACCTGGCTCTTCTATCCCACACGCAACAACAAATTCAACAGAAGATGACTAGTGTAGCAGCAGGTCTCAACCTACACTAAGGGAAAAGCAAGATTCTTCGATACAACACAACAACAACACAACCAAATCACACTGGACGAAGAAGCGTTGGAGGATGTAAACACCTTTACATATCTGGGCAACCTCGTTGACGAGCAAGGTGGATCTGATGCAGATGTGAAGGCGCGGATCAGAAAAGCAAGGAGAGCGTTTCTACAGTTGAAGAACATCTGGAACCCAAAAAACTACCTAGAAACACCGAAATCAGAATTTTCAGTACGAATGTCAAGATTGTTCTACTGTATGGGGTCGAAACTTGGAAAAACACCAAAGCCATCATCACAAGATAAGTGTTCATTAACATTTATCTACGCAAAATACTTCGAGTCTGTTGAACAGACACCATGAGCAACAATCTACTGTGGGAGAGAACAAACGAGATTCCAGCGGAGGGAGAAACCAGGAAGAAGTGTTGGAAGTGGATATGACACACATCGAAGAGAGCACCCAACCGTGTCACGAAACAAGCCCTTACTTGGAATCCTCAAGGTCGAAGACGAAAAGAGGCGATACGCCGTGAAATGGAGACAGGTATGAGAAGAATGGACAGAAAGTGGACATTTATTTTGTTTTACAATTTTTCCAATCAAGCTATACGAATCTTATACAATCGTTAAAGATGATGTATTATTGGTATCTATACCAAGATCGGACTTGATAGTTTCAAATAAATTGAGCTCTGGGTAAACAGTTAATAATAATAAAATTATTATATTTTTTAGCGATGTCCAAATGAATAGAAATTTGTATTTCCGATGTTTCTTGACCCAAAGCAAGTCACTTCTTCACAGCAAATAAATAAATAAATAATCAAAATGAGTTAGCACAAGTTAAAATAGTAGAAAGGACATGTCGATGTTATATTATTTTTCGGTCAAAGTGATTTTGTTAAGAAAGAGGGTGTAATTTGTAACATGAAGTGTAAAACATATATATATGTTTGCGTAGAATTGTGCAGATAATGATGTGAGTCACTGTAAGGAAGGTAGTTCACCAGGTTCATTGTCAAAAATGAATTGGATTTTTTCAGAGAACGTGATTATCAGTTTAGAAAACCTTTTATGGAGTGTCTTTGTAATGATGACAAATATGTCATCTACATATTTGAGCTAGATGCGTGGTCTGATGTAACTAGCAGAAATAAACGATTCAATGTTAGACAGACAAATTAGCAACCACCTGGAAATCCCACGTCAACTCCGTTCGTTTATTCGCCTCTTTGAAGGCAAACAATGCAAAATTGAAGCATAGTCTGAAGGATTTCATGATTAAACTAATGCTTATTGAATATGTGCTAGGTATAGTATTATCATCCTCTAGTAGACTATTGATAAATTCTAGATGTCTATCAATTAGAATGCTAAAATACTAGACTGGACACCATAGCTTACCATTGTCTAGTTCTGGTTGGTGGATAGTACTGATATTTTTCGTTTAAATTCATTATTTCGGTTATGTTGAAGTGTGTTTAGTATACAAATTAAATATTTAAATAAAGCATATATGAGGGTGTTTGTGAAGTCCACTATAGGCCTTATGGGAATGTCAGGTTTGTGAATTTTTGTTAACCCATAAAAACGTGAGTTGATGTTGGGTTTCGGATATAAGATACAACATAAGGAGACATCAATAAAAGGGTTTAGCTCTTTTGGAAGTTCAGTTGCTTCCGATTTAACCTTGTGTTAAACCATTGGAGGATTTTTTTGAATTGATCTTTTGATATGGTCTTGTCAGTAGATGTTTAGGGACTTTTCGTAATCACTTTTGTTCATGTCCACAGTTTTATAACCCTTGTCCACCTTGGTGATGATAATCGTTCTTTCATTTTGTAATGAGCGCAGGGTTCTCTGTTCTTTCTTTAGATACATTAAGAGGAAGGCATTTCGACTTTTTAAAAACATGAGATCTTTCTTGGCTTAATTTGTGATTGATTACCTAGAAGTATTTCGAGTAACAGTTCTAAAGACTGAGACGATTTTTAGAGTACCAAGAGATTTCCTATGTACCACTTTCAGATTAGTAGTAGTTTTTGTTCGTGATAGTCGATTATCTGCACAATTCTACGCACACACATCTACACTTTTTACTATTTTTTACACGACTTCATGTTACAAATTACCCCCATTTTCTTAACAAAATCACTTTGACCGAAAAATATTCTAACATCGACATGTCCTTTCTACTATTTTAACTTGTGCTAACTCATTTTGATTATTTATTTATTTGCTGTGAAGAAGTGACTTGCTTTGGGTCACGAAACATCGGGAATACAAATTTCTATTCATTCGGATATCTTGTTTGTCAGTTAGGGTGGTAATAAATATATACCGAGTTAGCATATTTTTTATCTAGTCATCGGATGTTAAGTATAACTCTTTGTACTGGTGCTGAGAAATCTTATTCATGAATAATTGTATTGGACTTTGTGATTGATTAAAGCGAATTTCACTGTACTAAAATTACATTTTCATCTGATTCATCTGAGATAGATTATTGTATTTATTTCTTTTTCTGTTAAGTGGAATATTCAATGTAACTTTCTAATTCCAGGACGACCCTGATCAAACACGAGTTGTTAGGGATCAAGTTGGAGCGGCTGAACGAAATCAACAACGCTCTAATGCCGATCCACTTGAAATAATGCTGTTAAATATGGGTTATAATATTCCTGGTCTGGATCTTGATTTTAATAGAGATAGACGATCACGAGGTCGCGATTGTATTGATGAACAGCATGATGAAGAGACTGAATCAAGTGATGATGACGATGATAATAACCATGACATCAATTTCGAAAAGATTTCTTCTTCTGTGCAACTATCTGGAAATGAGACTTATGCTAATATAAATCATTCGACCAAAAGTCTTGATAACATCTCGCACAATGATTCTGTTTCGAATAGCGCGAATATAGTTAATGAAGACACCGAAAGTGTTGTTAGTCAGACTGATAGTCAAAAGCGTACTGTAAATGAATCAATTGATATGTGTTGCCAGTTAGGTAATTCTCAAGCACCTGAGCAGAAGCGAACAAAAACGGGTAATTTATCTGATGAAGAAACCTCTTTTCAACCATCAGTCGCTGCTACCATATTTAATAGTGATTTTAATACGTCTGATGATGATTCTGATGCTGCATCAACGGGAAATGATACAAAACGTAAACCTAATCGTTCGCGTAAATCACAATCTAGTCAAAATCGATGTTTACGACGTATTCGTACACGAAGAATACCAATTAGTGCTACTTTTCAGGACGCCGAAATTGTAACTACTCCGTGGTTAATTGATTTTTTCCCCATCGAAGTTCATTCAATTAATTCACAATCAACAGTAGGTGAGACAAATGAGCAAGAAGTGCAAGCACAAGAACGTAGAACTACTTCTCGAGAGGATGAAGACAGAAATGACTATAACAATGTATCAGAAGTCTCTTGCACGTAAGAATTTGTCATTGTCCTTAAAAAATTTTCATTACCTTAAAAAAACTCATTTATTTTGTAAATGGAAACATATATCCCCAAGTTAATCATAGTTCAGAGGACTTTATTAATTTCTAAGATAAACGCCATCTTCTCTAGCATACCATCCAAACAAGTTGTATTTCATTGGTTTTCACCTATCTTATGGTATAATATAGCTCGGTAACAAATTGTCAGTTACTGTGATTATTTTTAGCGACATCCTTCTCTCTCTGATATCACTCAGCTGTTCAAATGAAAGTATATAAAACAGTGCTTGAACTAACAACCCAAAATCTGTTAGCTAGGTAGGTGCTCAATACTGTCAAGTACTTGTTCTGGTGAATTTTAATAAAAAATTTAAATCAAAATTCAAGGTCTTTAATACATATAAACATTTGTTCGTTTTTTGATCAATTTTCTTTCCGTCTCTTCAGGCTAGGCATTTTATTACAGGTTGTACAATTTTTCATCGAAAACATCCTAGTTTGCAACGTTTTTACAAAATTTAATGTTACTTTCTATGAGTAAATCTTCGTAAAACACTATATAGTTTAGCTTTAGAAATTTTTTTCATCATCTGTGTATATAAGACTAGTAGATAACTGTTCAAAAGCTTCATTAATATTCTGTTAAGGTTCTCACTGAATGTAAAACATACCTACTCATGTTACCCCTGAACGGCACTCTTCAGCCAAATCTCTCCTGAACCTTCCCTTACAGTTCTACCAAATTACTATTCATTATTTGCATGTATGCTCCCAATTCTAGGTGCAGTGTGTTTCTTGGACCACGTTTTTCCTTTTTGTCTTGAGGGTTCCAAGTTTCGGCTTGCCTCTTAACGCAATTGGATGATTTCCCCAATGTGTGTTCTATGCACCTCCAGAGCTTCTAACCAATTTCTTGCTCATCAAAAAGCTGGTTTGTTCTCTCACATAGTAGGTCGTTACTGATGGTGACTAGCCGACAGATCCGGAGTATCTGCCTTAGACGACTGTTAACAAACACCTGTGTCTTTTAGATAATGGCGTTTGTAGTTCTTCAAGTTTCCGCCCGCTACAGGAGGACTGTCTTGACGTTCGTTCTGACTTTTGTGTTGGTGAATGGTTGTTACGACTGTCCTTGCTTTGCCGATCTGCGCCTTCACATCTGCACCAGACTCACAGTGTTTATCAGTGATGCTGCCCAGATATGCTGCTACACTGGTCGTAATCTTTTTCTGCAATTGTTTTTGTCTGTGAGCGATATGTTTGTCAATTGATATGCTTGAAACAATTACGAGTTCACCTTAGTCGGCTAACAAAAGCGAAAACAATAGATCCAGGCTATTCTGATTCGATCGTCCCCGGTCCTGCTAACGATATCAAAAGTCTTCATATGGCGTAGAAAGTGTATTCTACAAGCATCCAGAAAATATGAGGTTGAAAAGTACACAAATCGAGTTTATTTATACATGATGGAAACGCCCTTGGGAAAGCCACAAAAATAGCGTAATAAAATAACACATTAACTAATGATAGTCAAGGATTTTCCGTGTGCGACATGTAATCTCAAGTTCAACTGATCAGCCTATATGCGTAAGCATACAATCCAAAATTAGGACCTTTATCACGTGAGCTCTGGGATCTAATATCCCTAACACTCCCCACCTCCCAGATCTTGCAAAACAGAGCATTCACCATCTTTGCAGTTACTGTTAAGCCTGCTTCCAATGCCCCAGCCGCAACGTTGTCTAGTCCTGCTGCTTTGCCTCCTGATTTGTCTGATGGCACTGCTGGTCTCTTCGATTGTTCGTTGGTTAACATGAATTGGGAGATCTGCAGGTGCGACTTCGATATCGGGTGCTTTCAGTATGGCTGGTCGAAAGCTTTCCTAATGTTCCGCTTGACTTGCTTGTTTGCTTCTATGTATTCAGCCTTTGCGTTATTTTTCTGTTTTTGTGCGTCTGTTTTTGATTGTTGTCTTCCTGTTCTTCGTTTGTGGAATCTTGTACACTGTATCAGCAGAGATCCATTTGTTTGTAAATCGTCTTCTTGTGGCTGAAAGACTCATGACATCATGACATCTCTCTTGTTTGTTCAGTTGTTTTCCAAGATAGTTTTATCTTCTTTGAGTAGATAGTGGAGAAAGAGAGAGTGCAGCTCTCTCGAATTCGTTTAGTCTTTCAGCATCTCGAAGAAAGGCCGTATTAAGACTTCGGTTTCATCTTGGCCACTACCATGTGTTGATCTGAAGCTATGTCGGTACCTCTTTTTGTTCTTACATCCTCCATGGCCGTTCTGAACATTTTGTTGATACAGATGTGATCGATTCGATTCTGTGTAGTGATCCAGTGAAACTTATGTCACCTAAACCATTTTGTTTAAGGCACATAGATTTGTGAATCGCTCACCCTTTTGGTTCTTTTTTCCCAGTCCATGTCGTCCGATGACGTTTTCATATTCAGTGTTATTCATTCCAACCGTGACGTTTAGGTCTTCGACCAGAATGGTCAAATCATTTGTTGGGCATTTCTCGACGATTGACTGCAACCCCTCATATAGTTGATCTTTATTGTTATTATTGATGGAAACGACACTGAGTGACATTCATTTCAATTTCGTCTTACTTTGTTTTGAAGGATGTTTTGATGTTCGTGTGTGGATGTGATTCTCACCCTCTAAGTGCGTTTTTGGCTTCTTTGGACAACATCATTGCAACTCCTTGTGTGAGACATTTCCTCTTCGTGGCCGGAGTACAACAGCATCTCTCATGAAACTCATCTTTTTTATCAAGTGATCTCCCAATGCGTTTCACTTATTCAAAACGCCACTTGACTGTATTTCCTCATTTACTCAGCAGCTGGAAGAGTTCTTCCGGTCTCCCACATTCCATGTACCTATACTAACTGCTGCTATGGTTGTCAATCAAGGCACTGTCCTTGTGACTTTCGAAGACTTGGATTTCTCCATGAGGTGTCATTACTCCTCTAAATAAAGTCTTTCCAACTCCCAGGGTAGAGTTTCAATGGTTTGAATTATTTGTTCTGGTTCGCGTTTTTGTAGCAAGTTAGTTTTCTACGTATTGGGTCGCCAACTCCATGCTCAACCCTCCTACTATATCTGGTCTTGGGAATGTTTGTTACCCTGATAGGGCTCATGCAGGGTTTGTATGTAAAAATACTCCCGAAATATAGACAATTTTATCCCTCTGTAAATTATGAATCTCTGTGAAAACATCAATGAACCAATAAAACTTAAACTGTCTCAAAAGTTATTAAATTCTGTACAGTATATTTATTATGTCAGACTAATGGTGCCTAGTAATTGAATCATCTTAATGAAAGTAAACTTTGCTCATCATTATTTCATCAAATAGAATAATGATTCTGTTCATCGTAGCGTACATGGACATTACTAAGCTGTCGAACTATTGGCTCCTCTCTTGATGCTAGTGAACATGACCAACTTAGTTTTGTTTAGGCTGACTCTTTAAAATATCTTTGATTTTCTTGAGATCAATTGGTGACCGACATAGAATTTAATTTATCTATCACTTATTTAGGCGAATTCTGAACGGTGATTTCAAATGAGAGGTTTACAGGTTGCTCTGAAGGACTATAAAGTTAAACGACTATAACACAGCTACCAAGAACAACAACAGTTCAATCGAAGTCTTATATCACATGTTTTAATTTAAGTTCTAGCAGAAAATCAGTTGATTCAGCTTTGTGTGATGTTATTCATTATCAGGGCAAAGCATTCTAGACATTCGTTTACATATCTTTTTGCTTTATAGTTTAAAATAGTACCACTGAATTGATTGAGTTGTAATTAAAGATTTCTGAAAAGGTATTTATGTAGTGATTGTTGTTTAGTGCAAAAGCTTATTTATTCATATCTTATCGTAAGCAACGTGGGGAAACAAAAGAAAAAACGTACTCGTACTTGTTCTTATATTATTTTAGAATTACTAACCAGTTCCCAACTTCTACTTAAATTAACAGGTGTTATTCTTATGTTAAGTAGGTCAGTAATAATATAACTTTACATCATGTCAGATTTTATCACCTCATGGGAGTCTTAAGCATTCCTACTGGTTGACTCTTCATTCGACTCCATTTTTATGAAACTTTAATTGTATGTGACAGAAATAATCGGCACGAGTAAGATCGCCGAGTCCCGATCATATCTATCCATTGTAACATCCCACAGGACTTAAAGTTTACAGCTTTTGTGGTGCGGATTGCATGATGTTGAGGATTTATAATGTAACATATTGAACAATCAGTCATGTGTGGTAATGTAGCTAATGCCAGTTTGTAATCAGATTGAAAAATTTCTTTATGCAAAGTGTGATTCTGTTTACCTACTATTCAATGTAAAAGTCTCACTAGATAAACTAAACAAGCAGCGGTTTACATGTTTATCCTGAAACTTTTCTATTCTCATATTAAAACCCTAGACATAATAATAATTATTATTATTATCTTATTACTTATACAATTATTGAGTTGCATCAGGTATCGCTTACCAATAGGAATTGAATTTCATCTACAAAAAATACGCTGTTTAATTAATTTTTATTTTAATTTGTATATTTGTTCAGTGTCAGTTGAAGTACTTCTCTCCTCCCCCAAATCCATGTGATGTTCCAAGTTGTTATTCAAAGCAAGCAATGTATTGTGTTTTATTAAGGAGACTCTCAGGATAATTCTGTGAATTGAAATCTCGCTGCTGATCCATATTACTTTTTGTTCTGTTCTCTTCCTTGTTTTTGTTTATTGTATCCATTAAATAGAGTCTTTTATTAAATTTTTTGTTATAGTCGAATCACGGGTTTGTCTTTTTGACGAGAACCGAATGACAAAGTTACTGACTTAAATCATTCTACATGTGTACTTGTTTTTTTTTTTTTTTTTTTAACTGTACACTACCATTTCTTATTTAATTTAACATGAAAAACAAAATTATTGTTCAGTTTTGTAAATGTAAGCAATACTTTGAAGTTGATAATGTTAATAAACTGTAATTGGTTGAATTTGTTTAGCATGAATACTTTATTCAATATTTCTGAATACGGAGTCAACACACTCGTTGAAAACGGATTTGCTAAATTGATATTTACCATTATTATTGTTATTGTTATTCATAGTAATACGATAAAGTAAGACAGCAAACATGAAATTCTTTTGATTTTTATTCAGATGCTTTTGTCATGGATTGATTCTTGACTCTTAGCTACTTTGAGTTTTAATGATTGGCGTAATGAATACCAGAATATAATGGTTTATTAAGATAAAAACAATAAGAATATAAAATACTTTTTTGGTTTGTTTATTTGACTGTTGATATCTTATCTACCAGTTCGTCATCAAATGGAATTAAATGTGTGATTAAATGAAAGTACTGAAACAATTTATTCGAAAAGATAAAATCATGAGAAATAATAAATTTGTTATGATCTGTAAAGATGGCTGTACGTATTAACTGCTTTGAAAAGAAAGCTATGTATTAATTCTGACATCTTTTTGACGATTTTGAAATAAATACCTTGTATAAATTTGCAAAGTCAGCCTCTGACAACGTGGAACTTCGTACGTACGTACATCAGTTCAAGCTGCCATATCACATTACTACAGCAATGCGATTTTCAATTCAAATCACATAGTAGTAGAGGAAGTAGAAGTATTAACAGTAATCGAAAAAATTAGGGTTTGAACATATTGTTCAAGAAGTAGAATCTAGTGAAATAAACTTAAAAATGATGAATCCGGAGGATTAGGACTTGAGAGAACACAAAGAATGAATACACTTACACCTTCACAACCGGTCTTGATCCACGTCATTCAAAGTCTGTAACGACCGATTGCTATCATCTCGCGAACCCCAACTAAGGTATCTACGATTACCAACATGACTCAATCCACTTGTCATTTACTTTATGGATTTCTCTCATGTTTTGGTGTAGCTGCCCCTGGCTTTCTTCCAACCTACTCCACAAAATATAGTTCGATGAGGCAGTCGGTGGTTGGGCATACGTAACACATGTACCAACCACCTCAACTGCTGAAGTTTCACTACTTCATCTGTTGATCTGCTATCCTTACCTTAGTACTCGTTTCCTAACGACAATATTGCCTACTCAATAGTCCCATGATGGACGAGGAATGCTTCAAAGACACCGATGATCGAAAACCAGAGACCTCTTACAGGCTAGTTCGGGTGGCAACATTTTACATTTCAAGGGGGAAAACCGCATCCCTAAAATGCATTGTTGCTTAAGGTAGTCAGAGATTACGTCCAGTTCTCAAATTCTACTCAAGGTCTCAGTCAATCCAACTACTAAAACTGGACCACCGTCCTCAAAACTCTCATTTGTGAGCCTGTCAAGACCCGCTGCTCTTCCTCACTCTGGATTTCTTATAGCTTTCTCAACTTCATGAATAGTCGGACTTTGATTGATTTGTCACTGAGGTTGACTGGAGATCGTGAGCCACTGAAGTGTGACCGAAGGCCAGTTGAATTGATCCCTGGAGTGTTCTGTTCATCGATCCAATATCCTGGGTTGAGAATGATTGATATGACCATCTTTTTCTGAGTCAGGTTCGCTAACAGTACCAGTTTCCTTGATAAGTGTGAACAGTTGTCTTCGGTTTGCTATCGCCACTGCCTTTTCCTTCGCTGTTGCTTTCACTGCCCACCACTGTTCACGATCATTGTGTAGGCCTTTTATCAATCTGCGCTTAAGCTGACTGTGCTCTTCATCATGTTCAGAGCCAGTTGGGATGAGTTTTCGAGAGTCTATCAGTTCGGTGGATGCAACTAATGTCCAGTTTCTCCCTAATATTATGGTGTGCTGGCCGGTGTTGCACTAATTTTGTAGCGGTCGGTGTTCGATATGTTATTAAGATTGGTATGCAACCCGTCCAGACAACCGTTACGAAATAGCGCCCCACGGTTTGTAAATCAAAAAAGCAACCCGAAGTGATGAATATATTTATTTGGCATTGTTGGGGACGTTAGCTCACCGTAACTCACTTGGAAAATTCCTAATATAGTAATTTTATTATGAAATTTTGAATTTCCCTGTTTTTGCGCCAGTTAACCTTCAGCTTACATTTCCTTCTTGGAAAAGACTGTCATTGGTTAATGAATTATTTATCATGCTGTTTTGTGACTCTCTTTAAAGGCGTTTCTATCATTATATAAATAAGCTTGATTTATGTGCTTAGACACCGTATTTTCTGGTAACTTCTAGGATACATTCTCTAGGCCTCATCAAGACTTCTTGATCCAACGGATTAGAATAGCCTATCGTGTCATTGTATCGTTGATCTTTGTTTCGTTTACCAAGTAAGGGGAACTCATAATAATTTCGAGAGTATTAACTGAACAGCATGTCAGGTGCTCCACAAATCGACTACCAAACCACAAACACACAGCTAAAATCAGTATGCGAAAGCCAAAGAGCAGACTAGCGCGTGAGCGAAATAATGAATAAGAATGAAATGGTCGTATATATACATAGTAAAATGGATGAGTCATCGAAATATTTAAGAGGCCTAAATTAAATCAAATAGGATGAATATGCGTGTAGGCGATCAACAGGGTTGTTGCTATATGAAGGACTTGGTTAAATAACTTAATAAAAAGGTGTAACCGAATTGAGTATGAACCATCTTAAACATATGTGGAGGTAATTCAACGGTATACCTTACAAACAGATCACTGCTGTTTGCACAGCTTTTGGATATCATTCAAAGCTACTTCAGGATGAAAATCATTTAAATGATTGACTAAATGTTTCTCCAGTTGCTGCTGAAATATATTCTTAGCAATGTTATCATCAAGTAGAACCTTATGATGTTTCCTTGCGGTGTCTTTCCTACGTCCAGCAAGTCGCAAACAAATACGTGCTCGCACTGGAGCATGGTCTGAATCTAAACATGTGCTCCAGAACGAGCGACAGTCCTCTATCGAAACTCTCCATCGGTTGATGAAGGCGATGTGAATCAGTTGGATCCAGCGTTGTGAGGATTTTGGGGGTCACCGTGTCAAAAGAGGTTTCTCCTATGCTTAAAATAAGTATTTGCTAGAAATAGGCGGTTATCTGAGCATACTTGCAACAGATGGTTGCCATTCTGTTCTCTGAGCCGCGACACCATAACATCCACCAAGGTGTCTTTCATTTTCACTCAGTCTACCTACTTGAGCATTAAAGTCACCAGCCATTATTATATCAGAGCGTCTAATTTTTTGAGGAGGTCCAAAAGCTCTCTGTGAAACTCGTCTTTCACTCGTCTGAACTGCAGTCAGTGGGAGCGTAAGCAAATACAACAAAAAGGCAAGGGCGCGTCTCCCTATAGTTTCTAGTCCTTACTGTCCCGTTTAGTCGGACAGCGCACAAGCAACTATCCAATGGGATCCATTCTAACAGAGCTAGTTCTGCCCTTTGACTTAATACTATTGTAGTGGAAGGCTTCTACGAAGAAAATACGATTTGTGAGAAATAAACATTATTGTACTTGTTTTGCTTAACTGTACCAGGAACACTTCCTGCGCGCAACCTTTCCTTCGTGTTGCTGCCATTTTTCTTAACTTGCTGCTATGCCTAATTTCTCCTTCAATAAAATAACTCAAGCACCAACCTCTTCAATCCTGTGGCTTTATTGATCGTTCTTGTCATTTCGCTGTCTGGCTGAACACGTGATATCATGTTGATATCACGCGACTTCTAATCAATAAATATCGTTATTCTATGACGCGATTATTCCTGGTCTTGATTCGTTTGGGAGTTTTCACCTGGCAATCATCCCAACAGCTACAATATACCTACAGCAGGGATGCCATGGGAAACGGCAGTAGAGATAGCGGGAAGACGAAGTGTAAACCGGATTGATTCTCCATCTGGATAGGGTGAAATCAATTTATTGATTCTCCTTAGATCCTGTATACGCGTTTAGGAGACACAACAGACAACTATGGCACGAAATTCCAGAATCCTAGCTAAGGAAGCCTGTTGCCCTATTTGACACAACGTCCTTACATTAAATGCTCCAACATGTAGTTTAGAACGGGGTTTCAGGAGACCAGGAATAACGTTTCTTGAGCTCAAATCGCTTGCATTAGAGGTGCACAGTGATAAAGGAATGTGGGATAAGAGAGTTATTAGGTGTAGGAATGATTTGATCGTGACCGATTCTGTGTCATGTACTTTTACAGGTATGAGGGCAGATGTTATTTCCATTCTGCCCACACTTTGAAGGGTGTTTCTTGAGGAACCTGAAAAGGAAGGTAGATTAGCGTTGGTCTTAACGACCTGGGAGCGTAATCTCAGAGCCCAAGAGATAACTGCTTGAAGCCGGTCACGCACGGACTTTTTATGAGATTTTCAGAGTATTAGCTCCACGCTTGTTTAAAAGGCCGTACCACCGGAGACGGAAATCTGTGAGGTGGGTTGAGTCGTGAAATTTCTAGGGTCGACCTTTTCTAACCTGTTCCTTCCTTGCCAGAAGGCGGCATCGCTGTAGATGCTGTTTGTGTAAGGGAAACATCTTATTGCTGTCACACCTCTCTTCAGTCAGCAGTACGACTTCGCCCTCAGACCTTGATTAGC